AAGAAGAATAAGACCGAAATAACAATATTCCTCGCATTTGGGCAAGCGTGGCTCTTGTAGCCTCCAAACATCTCCGAAGAGTTTCACGGGGGAAGCGATTGGAGTGAGACGTTCGACATTAAAGGCTCAGTTATCGTTCTTAATAATCGTAATAATAATCCTTGCATTTAATATAGCCCCTTATCCCATCACCGAAACATCTCAGAGACAGAATATACTGTAAAGTGGATTGACTCTATTTTGTGGGCAAAACAATTGCGCACAGCAGTGTCCCACAAAGAGTCGTTGATTGAGTGACCATTTTTTTTTGTTAGTCAATCGCACGTGAACCCAGTGTTACGAGCGATGTCAGTGAGACGGTGACTGGGTGTAACGTGCCTCTCAAGAGCGAGAGATGCGACGAGACATGTTAATGATGTGCGTTAATCAAGGGGTTGGTATTAGCTGTGACAAGTTGTGAAACGTCGAGGAGGCTCAGAGATCCCCTTGGCATCGTCTCCGCTGAGCCGAGTGGCTCAATCTACGATTGGCGATGAGATTATATCATTTACGCTGCTCACAATATCATAATCCCATTAGGGCCCTGATGTTCCCAGTTAAAGCTCCTGTCCAGGCCTCGGGGTCTGTCGCAGACGCTGGAGGAAATCAGGAGTGAAGTTTTAATTAACTGACAAATACTCGCGTATCCTCGCAGTTAAACAAGTGGAAACGATGTTCTGTCTGAACCGTCGTTCTGAAGGTCCTGCGCCATCACTCACTCTGGTTTTACCCGAAACTCCACATCTGTTCAAAAAGCCGTGTGTCTGTTGCATACACATGGAAAACCATCGCCGTGATCAGCCGGGTGTCTGACGCACCCACACTTGGAAATCCACCACCGTGATCAGCCGGGTGTCTTGTCTGTCTCTCACTCTCTCAACACACACACACACACACACACATACTCCCCCCCCCACCCCCCAACGCACATCCCCACCAACCCCAAAAAGCGCTGTGATGGAGCGTCAGCCTGGACTGTGAGCTCAAAGTCTTGACGTGAGGGGAAGGTGGGATATATAATAATAATAATCCTTGCATTTGATATCGCGACGTCTCAAAGCGCTTCACAGGATATGAATCAACTGTGTATTTTGTGGGCGAAACATACAAAAATACATATTATATATATATATATATATAGAAGGAAAAAAAAGTATATGGAGGTATTTTGGGTGTTGATTCACCATCTTCCTGCCACCTGCTCAGTCTCTCTCTCTCACAACTGCTATGTAATATTTACTTGTTGTAAATCTCCTCTCGTTGATCTGTTGCAGCTGTAATCCCCGCAACTCTCAAAGTGTTTTGCTAATTTATTTTTGACCCGGCGTCTCTCTGACGGAATCTCTCCCCACCCCCTCCCCTCCCCAACATCTGGCTCAGATGTGTTTCTTATGAGGGGGAGTGGAGAGCATCGGATCATCATATCTTTGATATGAGACATTAAAAAATAAGCTCCCCATCTGTGCCTATTCATATCCTAATCCCTGCTCAAGGAGTATTACTATTCCCCTTCCCTCTCCCCGCCTGCACCCCACTTTCCAACTGTTACGTAACACCTGCCCCGACCCCCCCCCACCACCCCACACACACACACTCTCGCTCTCCCCCTCTCTGTCCTGACACAGAGATTCATTTTGCGTCTAAAGATCAGTCAGCGTCACAACCCGCCATGAAACTAACGGCCAATTACAAGGAGGAGATTGATGGCTGGGGTGGGCAGGGAGACCATATTTTGTAAACCAAATCAGGGGACACGTAGATAATAATCCCCCACACACCCCCCAGCACCGCACTGGGGAGTCAGCCTGGACTGTGAGGCTTGTTCTTTGGTGGTTTATTTATCGCCTGGTCTGTAATGAGTCTTTAACTCGATTCCAACCGTCCCAGTACCAGTGACAAGGGCCTGTCAGGAACACAGAGCTCTGAGTTAGCCGAGGCTGGGCAAGGGTGGGCTGATGAACTGATTGATTGTCAGGCTGAGCTGGTGTTCGGAGGCAGTCTGATTTAAAAGGCTGTTGCTTTTACTCATTATATTAACTCACTGTTTTACTCAGCTCAGCAAATAGCTGTGTCAGTCATTCCCGCAACAGCCTACCCCCCCCACACCCCAAACAGCGAGCTCCGCAACACTAAGGTTAGAGACATTTCCACACAATTAGCCGCGGAACGGTGAAACACATCGGAGCGGAACACGTCGAGAGCTTCTGCAGAAGGACCCAGGGGTTCGATCCCAGCCCAAAACAGATGGGGTTTGAAAAAGCTTCTTCTCGCTGTCAGAAATGAACGGTTTCAATCGAGCTCCACTGGATGCGAAGCCCAGTGATACAAATCTCTCCTCAAATTGGCACAAATCGGGTCCAATTCATCAATCGCAGCCGGAGAGAGAGGGGGGGAGGGAGAGAGAGAGAGCGAGAGAGAAAGCACGCAAAGATAGGTCCTAATAAATAGAAATGTCAGTGTTACTGTTACAGTGGAGGATTTGGAAGCACAAACGTGTGTGCGGTGGTGGGCGAGAATGGGAAGTGTGGGGGGGGAATATAGAGAGAACATCACACACGAGCATTTATAGATTTATAGAACGTACAGCTCAGAATGTCACAAGCCGACAATGATAGATTGTGTTGAACCAAAGCTCGGGGTCAACCGTTAAAATGAACAGGGACAGAAAGAGGGAGAAAGGGAGAGAGGGAGAAAATAAAGTGGTTAACAACACAGAACATTCATTGTTTCGTGGTAGCGGAGTTAAGAAGGCTGAGTCTTTGCTGAAGCTGGCTGTGTGCCTTGAGGGGGGGAGCTAGGGAGGGGAGCTCGACCATTAAAACCACACCAGGCTCCACAGCCCTTTTATTTACTCTTTTGGTTTGTAGCTGGCTGCCTGAGGGCATCAGGCAAGGCGTTGACTGTGGAAGGATCACCCCCGTGTGTGCATTGCCGTTCACTGCAGCTGAGAGGATACAGCAACAACAATAATAATAATAATAGCCCTTTCCATCTGATACAGCGCCTGGTCACGTTGTTGAGACGTCTCAAGGTGCTTCACGGGACATATCGCGTTGCAAAGTGGGTTGACTGTATATTTTTTTTTTGGTGGGTGAAACACAGCAGCCCAGGTTGCACACGGCAGTGTCCCCACAAAGAGTCATGGAGTGAGTGACCAATTTTATTTGAGGAGATTGTTGGCCAGGACACCGCGAGAGAGAAACTCCTCTTTTCTTTTCGAATGGAGCAGTGGGGTCTTTAACGTCCACCTGAACAGGCAGACAGGAGCAATAAAGAGCTTTGAGATGTGGACACGGTGAGGTACATGACATGAGAATTGCTAGACGGAAAAAGACCAAGGTCCATCTAGTTCGCCTTCTACCATCCTGGGAGTCGCAGGCTACGGTAATGGAGATGTTGATAGCAATTCATTCCGTATGGATTAGTCTACAGCGGAGTGGAAAGTGTTGGGAACCTTAGATCCAAAATAGACACAAGTCGTTGTTTCAGCAAACAAACAGCCTCGGCTCGAGCTGTAAAGAAAGCGACTCACCCGCAAGACAGGAGCTCGATTCTCCTCAAACCCGTGGCTGGGAGTCCTTTGGTTTCAGTCCTCGCCCACGAAAAAAATATAATTTGCAACAGTCACCTGTGCTGAATGGCAGAGCTCATTGAGTCCTAACCTGATGTGGTTAACGAGGGACATGTGTGTCTTTGTGGGTGTCAGTGTGTGTCTGTCGGTGTGGACTCCCTGTTAAGTGACTAATGAGTTGCAGGTTCAATACAGAGTCAATCCTGTTCAAGCCCAACATCCCCCCACCCACTCCCCGCCCCCCCCCCCTCATTCAGCAACCACCCGCTGTCAATAACCACCCTGGAACAGCTCCGGAACGATTTCCCACAATAAACGACCTCTGTTCAGCAACCACCTGTCCAACGCAACCAGCAGCCGATGCTTTTTTTTTTAAGCCTCGTCACGGGTCCGGATTGGAACCTGTGAAGTATCTTTCTGGCCTGACATGACCACATCTGTCCACCAGGAGGCACTTTTTCCCGCAGGGCTTTCAGAGCCCCAACGAAGCAATGGAACCATCATCAACAACAACAACAACAACAACAACAAGATTACATTTGTATAGCGCCTTTCACGTCGGGAGGACCTCCGAACCGCGGGGCAGAGTGCAGCATTTCATCACCTGTTGGAAAGGGGGAGAAGGGAGTGTCTCTGTATCTTGGCCACGGTTAGTTGCTTCATGGCTGTTTGCAGGACCTGGTTGGGTACAGTATAACCGCTGCTGTCGCCTTGAACGGGCAGAGGTTTGTTCCGAGACAAATTAGATTGAAGGTGACAAAGATTGTTCCTTAAATTATCAGCCATCAGAGTGGGACCAATTAATCGGAGACCGATTACCTTCCCCGAGAGTAGAGTCAACATTGTTTTGCATCAGAGGCTGATTGACGGGTCAGTCGTTTGACGGCTCGTTAGGGATCAATCAGGAGGTCTGATTGTACAATCTTCATTGACGTTGGGGAGGGGGCTTCGGGGAGATAATTGATATGCCGTAATTTCCCATTAAGTCTCCCGCTCTCGATGGGGGCGGTGAATCAGCAATCAGCGCGGATTGCACAATCAGGTGTAAGTGGGACAAATCAGGTCCCTTCGGAATCGGTGGGGATGCAAATCGCAATCACCCCTCGTGCACGTGGACGGGCAAATGGTCGGAGCATTTGGCTGGTCAGAGATCCGATGAGCGTAAATTGAGAGCTTACTACAATCACCTCGCGCTGTGAGTTGCGACCACGCGCCGTAGGGGTCGATAGAACCCTAGACGTGTACAGCAGAGAAGGCCCTTTGGCTGGTTGTGTCTGAGCCGCTCTATTAAGAGCAATGCTTTCAGTCCCGAGCGCTCCGGGACACTACCCCGCACGAGGGGCGCTATATAAAGGCAGGTTGTTGTTGCTGTTGTTAGTGTACTTGCTGGTGGTATTGTCGGAGTTGCCGTCCTTCAGACGGAGACTGTGAGCTCAACTGTCCTGACCCGGGGTTCTGCTCGATATCCCTCGGCTTCCACTAAGTTCAGTTCTCATCGAAATCGAAGCGATTTGTGATTAAAAAGTAACAGTATTCGCCGGGTGCGTTTATAATAAGAAAAATAAATTTATTTCGGCCAAAAAACATATTACAAACAAAAACGCGGGCGATGCAGGTCGTAAAGCGAACAGAAACCTTCCAGCAGTTTGGTACTTTTAAGCTTCAAGCATGTAAATGACAGCTCAATAAAAAAAATAGCATTTGAGGTCCACTGTGCAAATTGACTGCGGTAAACGTTAAAAGTTCTAACACACACACACACACACACACACACACAAAAACAAGTGGCATGGAATGAAAGAGAGCGCAGTTCCTGGTCTCAATGCTGAAGTGTTCCAGTGGGGTTAAGGCCCTGGAAGATCATATCCCCTTCATTGTTGGTGGTCACGGTGAAGGACTTTCGTGAGGTTCTCCATGTGCTCAAGCGTTTGGTGAGGAACCTCCTGAACTTCTTGGTCAGGAAGCAGTAGATAATGGGGTCCAGAGCGCAGTTCAAGCTCATCAGACACAGCGTGACCTGGTGTGCGTCATTGACCGCCTGGCGGAATTGACAATCGTCAACCCTCCACTGCTCCAGCACCGTGAGGGTCCAGGGTCCCTGCACCACGTGGTGGGGCAGGAAGCACAGGCTGAACACTACCATCACAGCACACACCATGCGGAACGCTTGCTGCTTGACCGAGTGGTTGGTGTTGCCGGGCTGGATGGTCTGGGTGGACAACAGCCGGAGGATGTGCAGGTTGCACACGACGATGACCAGGAAGGCGAAGAAGAAGGCGGTGATCAAGACAAAATTGCTGATCATCACTGCCATCGATGAGTCCTTGTCGTACCCTTCGAAGCAGTGGGTCTGAGTCCCCACCTGATTGGTACTCTTCATGAAGAGGAACGGGCTGGCGCTGCACAGGATGATGAACCAAATGGCGAAGGACACGATCATGCCCCTCTTCCTGCCGCTCTGCTGGATGCTCTCGATGGGTCGGGCCACGGCGCAGTAACGGTTGTAGCTGATGGCGGCCAGGAAGGCGATGGAGCAGTAGGTGTTGATGAAGAACAGGCAACCGACCATTCGGCAGAAGAACTCCGGGAAGACCCAGTTTCCGAGACCGCAGTAGTAGACGATCCAGAACGGCAAGGTCAGGATGAAGAGCAGGTCGGCAATGCTCAGGTTCACCATGAAGATCTTGACCTCGTTGATGTTTCTGGACATTGACAAGTGCTTGAAGACCCAGAGCACATAGCAATTGCCCATCAGCCCCAACAGGAAGATGATACTGTACACGACCGGGAAGAGGATGTATCTGAACTCAGTGTCCACAGTGCAGTTGCTCTTGCGCTCGCTGGAGTTGCTGAGAGAGACGTTACTTGGGGAATACATGGCATCCATGAGGATCAGGCACCCCACCACCTTAGAAGAAGAACTCCGTTAAGGCTCAAGGACCACGTGCGGGGAGGGAGGAAAGGGGAGCTGGAAACTAACACTCACGAAGCTCGGAGGAAACTCCCCCACCCCCCACCCTCAGGGAATACGAGGAATCTAGCAAAAGAAACAAGAAGAATTTGAAAATCAGCGCCTTTCAATAAAATAAAATTGTGAGAGTCTAATTTAATTTACTAATTTATCAATTCAGCCACCACGCCCCGAAACTCTGAAACTCTCTCCCTCAATCCCTCCGCCTTGCCCCCTCCCTCCTTCCCCATCTTCAGGAGGGGTTTGAAGAACTTCCTCTTCGACCGTGCTTATAGTCACCTCCCGACCTCCCCCTCCAGAACGGCTGGGCTGGGCTCCCTGCTGTCTAAGTTCAACTGCGCACGGTTTTAGGAAATAAGGCTTTCTCTTACTCAACAACTACTTGTAATCAGTCGTGTTCCTCGCACTCGTTATCATGTTGTCGAGGGAGTCACATAATGCATTTCGTTGCTGTGCGCAATTGGCTGCCACATTCCGCCCACAAATATACAGTCAATTCACTTTACAGTGTGTTCTGTGAAGCGCTTTGGGACGTCCTCCCGACGTGAAAAGCGCTATATCAAATGCAAGGATTATCATTATTATTATTATATTATCATGTCTCAAAAGCAGAATAAGGCGCTGTATCAAATGCAAGGATTATTATTATTATTACTACTAATGCCCCTTCCCTTTATCAAGCTACCGGCCCATCTCCAACCTCCCCTTTCTCTCCAAGGTCCTGGAAAGAGTTGTCGCCTCCCAACTGCGCTCTTTCCTTTCCACCCATTCTCTTTTCGAACCCCTTCAGTCAGGTTTCCGTGCTGCCCATAGCACAGAAACTGCCCTGGTCAAGGTCACCAATGATATCCTGACCATCTGTGACCAGGGCTCCCTCTGCCTCCTCGTCCTCCTCGACCTATCGGCAGCATTCGATACGGTCGACCACGCTATCCTACTCCACCGCTTGTCCTCCCACCTCAACCTTCAAGGCACTGTCCTTGAGTGGTTTAGGTCGTACCTTTCTCACCGTCTTCACTTTGTCTCGACGAATGGCTTCTCCTCCACCCCCCGTACTGTCTCATGTGGTGTCCCTCAGGGCTCTGTCCTCGGTCCCCTCCTCTTCACCCTCTATATGCTCCCCCTGTGGTGACATCATCCGCAGACATGGGTTAACTTCCACATGTATGCGGATGACACCCAACTCTACCTTTCCTCCTCTACTCTCAACTCCACGACCCCCGATGTCCTGACAGCTGCCTGTCCGACATCGAGTCCTGGACGAGAGACAACTTTCTTCAGCTCAACGTGCGAAAAACCGAGGCCCTCCTGATTGGCTCACGTCAGCGCCTCCGCACCTCAGGCGCCATCAGCATCCAAGGCCGCACTCTCCACCTCTCAAAGCCAGTCAGGAACCTCGGGGTTCTGTCCGACCCTGAGCTGTCCTTTCTCCCTCATATCCGCACCACAACTGGCACCGCCTTCCATCACCTCCGGAACATCGCCAGACTACGGCACTACCTCACCCCTCACGCTGCTGAAACTCTGGTCCACACCTTTATCACCTCAAGGCTGGACTATGGGAACTCTCTCCTCGCCGGCCTTCCCGGCACCTCCCTCCACACTGCAGGTCATTCAGAACTCTGCAGCTCGTGCACTGTCGCGCACCAGACACCGCGACCACATCACTCCCACCCTCGCCCTCACCCTCGCTCGCCTCCACTGGCTCCCCATCCCCCAGAGGATCGAATTCAAGATCCTCATCCTCACCTACAAGGCCATTCACGGCCTCGCTCCCTCCTACCTCTCCAACCTACTATCCCCCTACCTACCTGCCCGTACCCTCCGTTCCTGCGGCTCCGGTCTGCTCCACGTCCCCCGCCCCAACCGCCCTACTATCGGTGGTCGGGCCTTCAGCCTCTCAGCCCCGAGGCTCTGGAACTCCATCCCCCAGTGCCTTCGCCGCTTCCTCCCTTTCCTCCTTCAAGGCCGGTCTCAAAACCTTTCTCTTTGACCGAGCCTTCAGCTCCCCTCTCGACTCTCTACCCCCTCCTCGCTCCCTCCCTTCCCTCCCCTCACCCTGACCATTTCCCCCCTCCTCGCTCCCTCCCTTCCCTCCCCTCACCCTGACCATTTCCCCCCAATGCTCGGGTCATGACTCAACTGTGCAGCGCCTTGGGACGTCCTCCTGACGTGAAAGGCGCTTTATAAATGGAATCTTGTTGTTGTTGTTGTTGTTGTTGTTCACGCAGGAGAGCGTCTCGCAGCTCAATGCATTCAGAGTCTCGAAGATTACAGGAGTAAGTGTGCAAGCCAGATCTTTTCGTCGCTTGGATAAATCATACACATGTGCCTGTTTCCAGGCATTGTTGATCCAAACAATGCTTTGGAAAATGGTTATGAGAGCCTCTGTCAAAATTAGCAAATGAATGCCAAAACAAACCCTGGCAGGTTTAAGAGCGGTTTCTGATTTAACAGTGAAAGAGATAGGATTCAGAGCTCGTGTTAGTTCGTTAAATGTAACTTGGGAAACATGATGTTCTTCTCAAAATGCCTCTTAAATCTCATCTGCCTGACCATGCCTCCGGCCAATGCTGTTATTAAGTCCCTTTCCCGCTCCTCACCCTGCCTCTGCCTCATTCCTCGCTTTCCTTGCTATTGAAGTGCTTCAAGAGGTCCTTTAACACTTGAAAGGCGCTGTGTTAAACGTAGGTTATCATTATCGTACCGGACAGTACAGACATCGGAAAGCAAAGAATGACCAGACAACAATATTCGTTATAACAAAAATTTGTGTGTTTTGTAAGCCGATACAGCTTAGCATTGAGAGCACTGTCCGTCAAGCTTCCCGTTGCTCATCCAGCTCGGAGAACCTCTGTCCCTTTAAGCCGTTGACTTTGGCTGGCAGACTTAACAGGGAAGAATTCCTCCTCCCAGGGTGACACGGAATCTGTTATGGGACAGCGCACACTCCCAGGCAGGAGGTGGGTCACCATACTCAGATTTCCCAGGAAACACTTACTCAACAGATTAAACAAAAGGCTTAAGCGGAAAAGCACTCCTGCCTTAGAAATGTGTCTGTTAGACACGCAGCCCCAACGTGTGGGAGCTCTGCTTTGCTTTGAAACCAGCCCGAAATTGCTTGTAGCTACAGGTATCCATCAGATCATCACAACCCGTACAACAAAGACAAGAATCAAGCTGAGACAAGTCTCAGTACACACAATGTATGTCAGCAGGCACCCGGCACTCAGATATGTCTGAGTTCCCGCCCGATCTCAGCCTGAGAGACAATTTTGCCTGTTCTCTCTGGCACGACACACGTCGAGACCGCAATAGTAGATTCCACGTTTCGGAGACCTCCAGACCAGACTGCGAGTTTCGCGCATTGGATGCTATTTCACCTTAAAATTTAAGAGCGAGCAGAATCTTTGCTCGTTTCCGCAGTTAATAATAATAATAATAATCTTTACGATTGGCACAGCTCCTTTCACGCTGAGAAGACAACAACAACATACAGTGCCTTTCAAGCACGGTAGCATCTCAGAGCGTTTACGTCCCAAAGCACAAATATATACTATAAATAATAATGGGCCTTATCGCTTCTTCGAGACGTCTCAAAGCACTTCACAGAATACGCTGACTCCATATTTTGTTTCCCGGGCAGGGCCATATCTTAGGCAAGTTTCCTTACTCCAGACGCAGCTGTTTACTGAGCGGTAAGTAGGAACCTGGTTGTTGGTCGATTAGCGGATCGCTTTTCCGGGGATAATAATCCCTTTTAAAAAATAATAATGATACTAACTTGGTCACTCGAACCACAACTGGGACACTGCTGTGTGTAATTGACTGCCGCATTTTTACCACAAAATATCCAGTCAATTCACTTCACAGTATATCCAGTGTAGTTCCTTGAGATACCCAGAAGACGTGATAAGGCGCTGTATCAAAGGTCTACATTATTATAACTCAATATCTCCGACGGCAATAACACACAGGGAAAAAATCCTCACCTGAGTATTGTCAAAGGATCTTAAATTAGTTGATTCACCTCTATCCTGTGAACTGGGAGTTTCCGAGGACTCAGAGCTAGAAGAGTTTCTCTGTGCTGTCTCACCGCTCGGGAACTCTCTCTGATCTCTTCGTCTCCTTTGGTTGAAACTCTGAATTTCCGCTCTATCACAATACTGAGCAGGTGGTTGAGCAACGATGAGTCAGAGAAATTGTCAGGAGGAAATAATGCAAAAGTTTCTTTCAAACTGAAGCTTTTTTTTCCCCCCTAAGTACAAGCTGGCTAGAACGAGGGGCCAAGAAAAAAACCGCAAGCAATGAAGAGACAGCGAAGGTTAGCTTTGTGAAACCTGTATGTTTAACACCTGCGTGTTACCCCAGGAAGCAGCGAAACGGGTTTGTAAAGATCGTAAGTAAGGACAATAATCCTCTGAAATTACAAAACTGCCTCAGTTATTCCCCGCCTCGCTTTCACCCCCTCTTCCCCTCTCTCTCTCTCTCTCTCTCTCCCACCCACCCACACAGGACCTTGCATTCCATTGCACAATCAGCGAATTCTTACGCAATATAATTCAGGAAGACACAGGACATCACTTCACACAGCTGGCTAACCCAGGGAAAAGAGAGAGAGAGAGAGAGAGAGCGCAGGAGGGTGTGGGATGGGTCGGAATAAGGGCTGGAAGCACTCACTGATCACAGTTCACTCACTAAACAAACATGAAGTAAATCTCTTACAACAGGTTCGAAGCGACACAGGGCACCGCGTGCAAGTGGGACTTCTTTCTCTTTTCGAAAAGTGCCGTGGGTCTTTAATGTCCACCACTCTTCAAAGCAAAGGCGCCTCTGCCAAAACAGCCCCCGTTCTTCCAGCACCGTTCTGGAAGATCAAACTAGATTGCGTGAAATCATCACTGCCCACAGCTCATTTGCGCTCCACCACTTCCTTTGCTGCTGCAAACTCTTTTAGCTGTACCCACAAGCCTCCTGACGACATCTGGAGTCAAGCCCATTACCGTCCTTGTCCATCTCAGGGCCCAATAACTAAACAAGAAATTTATTTTCCCCCCTTCCTCTTATGTCAAGCACATGCCAGATGCCCCCTCCGCTCTCTCTCTCTCTCTCCCCTTCCCCAATTCTCAATTCCCCACTCAATTTAATCACTGCTGCCCCACCCATGCTCACCAGTGCCATAATCTTGCCATCCCCAAACCCTACTCTTTATAATAATAATTATAATCCTTTCATTTGATTGATATAGATATATATATATACAAATAAAGTGAATTGACTATATACTTTGTGAGCAAAAAGTGGCAGCCGATTGCAGTGTCCCACAAACAATCGTGGATTGAGTGACCAAATTATCTATTTGTTTGTTTGAAGGGATTATTACCCACCGCAAAGCGACCCTGCTAATCGACTAACAACCAGGTTCCTACTTACTACTAAGTAAACAGAGGCGCGTGGAGTAAGGAAATTTGACTACGGTTTCGCCCTTTTAGAGTACAATAGAGGCTGAGAATAAAATTGGAAATCACCTTTGTGTATGAACTCGGAAAAAACTTACAACAATTTCTTACCCTTCGGTGCGTGGACAGTCGGCGTCTGAACACGACACTGCTGAATGGACTTTGTCAGATTAATTAATTACTCGGAGAGGTAAACTTCCTGTAAAACGATTCCCATAATCTTCCCGCAAACAGACCTCCTCTGTAATTATCGAATTGGTTCTACTAAACCGCAGGACAGTTTAGCATTTCTCATTCGGAAAAAAAAAAAAACCCTGTTTCTTTCAAAAGCGAACGTGATAGGTTTCTTTTAGGAAATAATATCTAAATGCAATATTTACACAACATGTGCACGTGCGACTGCCAGGTCGGTGGAAGGCAAGCTGGATGGACATTTGTCCTCTTTCATCTAGCAAATCGTACGTTCTAAAGAGCATTACCAAACTTACCAGCCTGGCTCCTCGCACTGTCAGTGGGGCACAAACTCAACTCAAGTTGGTATAACAGGCCTCATTGATCAAGGATTACAATCACAATATACAACCACATATGTTTCTTCTACAGAAGTCTTTCCTCGCTTCTAATCTGTCCACGTCTCAAAAGCACGAGTAGCAACTGCATAAAACATTCTCAAGACCTTTACCCACATAATGCCTTTCATCTCGGTCTTCTAAACCATTTCTCTTTTCACCAGTCGTCCTGCGATTGAAGGCGGGTAAATTCAGAGCGAATCTACGCAAACCCTATTTCCGGGAGCGAATACTAAACCTGTGGAATAGGTTCCCTAACGAGACATCTGAAGCAGGAAATGTTGATTCTTTCCAACACAGATCTGATAGTTTCCAGATCTGATAGCATCATGGGATACAGTACATAGGTAGTTCGGGATATATGTGCAGGCGATCGCCAGGAAGGTGGAAGCCGAACTAGACGGACTTTGGTCTTTTTCTCGTCTAGCATTTCTTATGTTCTTTATGAAAGGGAGAAGGAGTCAAATTTGGGCAAGCAAGTGAAATTCCACATGAGCGAGGTCCCGCGTTTAGGAAGTGAGAATAGGAAACACGTGCATTGCAACGAGGAAGCCGAGAGAGGCTCAAGGGTTGACTCATTGGCTGCTGTGTTGAAATAGTCTGAACGAGACAGATAGAATGCTGGGCTTTGTTGCCTAATCAGTTGAATTTATGTCCACAGAAGCATAGGATTCTGGTAATGACACATGTGGAGTACTGGATACTGTTTTAGTCCCATTTCTACAAATAAGAAATGTGTATAATAATTTACACTACAATAAAATAACCTAGTAATAATTTGGTCACTTAATCCACGACTGTCTGTGGCGCACTGTTGTGCAATTGGTTGCCACATTTCGCCCATAAAGTCAATTCACTTGTGACCCAGAAAAAAAAATCTGACACACCAAGTACTGGAGGATGTGAAGAGCAAATTTGAAGCTCACAGGAAATATTTATTTACACAAAGGAGAATTAATGACTGGAAGGGGGTTACCATCAGTCAGGTCGCTGGACACATTCAAGAAACAAAAAACAAATTACATTTACACAGCGCCTTTCACATCAGGAGGACGTTCCGAGGCGCTGGACAGTCAGGGAACCACATCCAAGCTGGTGGAAAGAAAGGAGGGGTAGGAAGGTGACCAAAGGTGTGAGCGAAGAGGAGGGTCTTGCGACAGGCCTTGAAGGAGGTAAGGGAGGGGGTGAGGAGGAGGGACTGTGGGATGGAGGATAAGGGTCTTCTTTATCCCATCCTCACTCGTGATGAACTTGTGAGAAGAGGAGTTAGTGTGGAGTCAATAGTTGTCTCTTCTTTTATCCAACAACTTGAGAGCCAACCTTCACCACCTCTTTGTTTTCAGAGCTGGAAATTCCCTGGTTGTGGGGGGCGGGCAGGTGGTGAGGGTGAGGTAAGGTTGAATGACGCAATGCAATCAGGCAACACTATGAATGTCAAATTTTTCATGGTCGATTCGAGTTATTGCACAATACGTCAGTTCAATCCCATTGATAGACATTTTCCTCCGCGTTATTGCGTTGCAATGGGAAAGGTGCATCGATGTTGATCATTTGTTCTGCTCTGGATTGGAAGAATGATGAAGGAGACTCGATAATAATCCTTGCATTATTAATGCACTCCTTGCATTATTCATACTTATTAATTCTTATCCTCCATCCCACAGTCCCTCCGCCTCACCACCTCCTTTGCCTAATACACTGCTGTGCACAATTGGCTGCCACGTTTCGTCCACAAAACATAAGGTCAATTCACAGTACAGTATATTCTGTGTGGCGCTTTTGAGACGTCGCGAAGACGTGATAAGGCGCGATATGAAATGTGAGGGTTGTTATCCCAGCTTCTGTACGACGCGCTTCGAGAGGGCTCGGCGAATATCGAGGGCTCAATCGTTCCTTACTCTCTTAAAAGTGTTTCCAACTTTCTCCGCTTACAACTGAAACAAACAGCTTCACACTTTTCTCTCTACTCATGTTATTTCATGAAAAATGTGACAGTAGCAGTAACAAGTAACACGTTTAAGACTCTCTTCTGAACAAGGGGACTGGAAATGAGGTGGTGGCACTGCTTACAACTGAAGCAAATGCTCTTACATATTTCTCTGTGCTTGTGTTATTTTTAGGAAATGTGGCAGAATTGTACTTGTTCAATTTAAAGGGTTTCAACAGAGAAGTGTGATGTGTCCTTCAATTCTAAAGCGCTCATTCCCAGTAAACGTGGTTAGGAAAAAAAGCGGATTGCGCACGCACACACAGGACAAGGGGCATCTCGGAAAAAATCCATAAGAGCTTTTAAAATGGAATTATAATAAATAATAATAATAATAATAATCCTTGCATTTGATATACTGCCTTTTCACACCTTCTCAAAGCCACTTCGAAGAATATACTCTAAAGTGAATGGACTTGTTTTTGTGGTGGGGCGAAAAGTAAGTCGGTGACAAATATGGGCACGACCACGTTCTATTTTGAAGTAGAAATCGGAAGCTGATGAAACAGCTGAAGCTGAACCATGATCCAGTTACTTTGACCACAAGCTGCGTTTACAGAGCCCCAGTGTAACATTTCAAAGTGCTTTCTCACCCAGCAGGAAGGAAAGGGGGTGTGGGGCGGGGGGGGGAGCGGGGGTTGTAATGTTATTGAAAGTAGTCAAAAAGATAAGGCTTTGAGGCCGGCTTTGAAAGTGGACAAGGAGGGAGCTCGAGAATGGCGTTCCAGAGAGGTGCGGGTGGTGGAGGGAGAAGTGGGGCCGCACTATTTGTAAACTAGTTACCAACTCCTAAGCAACTGTTGGATGTTCCTCATACAGACTTCGGCAATGACTGAGCAGCTCAGTTTAAAACCACATCCGGTCAATCAGCCAGCCAGCCAGTATCGAACCAGTTATGTATAATATAAAATTTCTACACCTAGGGTCTTGCAGACAAGTTCCGAATCGAATTATAAAAACATTTTCCAAATCATCCATATGTATAAACGGTTGTTATTAACTCACAGAGGTCAGTAATAAGATTATTTAAATTTACCCAGAGTCGGAGAGTACAGGGAGGGTGGTGAAAGAAAGCAGAGTGTGTTATTGGGAGCAAAGTACATTAAAGCCGACACTAACTTAATATCATCCTTTCTCATTTACGTTTCCCAAACTTTTTATCTGCTCTCAGGGTACTCCAGGCTGTTGTTGAGCTCCACGGAGTTCTGGACGAGCAGATTATTGCCGAACGCTGCCAGAGGGAGAAAGCACAAGTCAACAAACAAAGCAATGGGCAAGTGGGGTTGTCAGAATCTGATTGAGAAGCTAATTATTCATTAGTTTTCATTGCATTTCTCTGCATGTTGATGGCTGGCCACAGGTTACATGTTGCACTTGTATGAGGCATAGCGTTCATTTTCCTCGCTAAAGTCTTAAAGGATACTTGGGAGTCTTATCTTAGTCTTATGCCCCCACACACCTGTGCCTAAACTTCCCGAGCACCAGGTGTGGGAGAACACGATTCAACAAGAGTTTGAAAGCCGAACTTCCATCAACGGGAATCGATCTTTCAACAAATGTCTCAGCCTGAGGGTACGCACAGCCTTTGTCTGATCCACTTGCCCCACCCCTTACCCCCAAATCTCCCTGGATCATGTCCTAAACTGCCTGACCCCTGCCCCATTGATGGAGATAAGCAGGTTTTGAAGTACAAAACGTAATATTATATTAAATGAGCAGAATTGGTGAAGGAGGTCACTGTCAACAAAGGGAGATCGGAAGGGCAGATACAGGAAAGCTCCCAACTTCCTATCGGTTAGAAATTAAGCCCATTCAAATGGACTACATAGTCTTTAATTATTGGTGGTGTACATGTGGTTCTTTCAAAATATCAGATGCAGTCTCTCCTCGTTCAATCCCACAAAATAGCAAGTGCTGAGAATCAATATGTACTTTTTCAGAGGAAGAAGAAGCCAGGAACGGCGGCAGACAACAACAGCAAAATTACATTTATAGAGTGCCTCTCACGTCAAGAGGACGTCCCAAGGTGTTGGACAGTCAAGGGTCGGGACCCGAACACGAGGGAACGGTGGGGTAGGGGTGAGGGAAAGCAGAGAGGTGGGAGGACAACTGAAGGCACGATCGAAGAGGAGGGTCTTGAGACCGACCTTGAAGGAGGCAAGTGAGACGAAGGGACTGTGGGATGGAGTTCCAGAGTGTGGGGGCAGAGAGGCTGAAATCCCGGCCGCCAATGGTAAGGTGGGTCGGGCAGGAGACATGAAGCAGGCCGAAGCCCGCTGAACGGAAGTGGTGGTAGGCAGTGCTGGTCATGGCGCGTATGTGGGGGAGAAAGGATAGTTCAGGGTCAAACAAGTTTCTGACTGGCTTAGTGAAGTTGAGTGATGCTGCCAGGGCCCGAGGTGCGGAGGCGCTGGCGCGAGTCAATCAGGAAGGCCTCAGTCTTGCTGACGTTCAGTTAGAGAAAGTTGTCCCTCGTCCGGGACTTGATGTTGGACAGGCAGTCGGTCAGGACGCCAGTAATCCTGGAGTTGAAGGTGAAGGCAGAGAGAAAGAGAAATTTACCCCACGACTGCGGATGTCACCAAGGGGGAGCATGTAATAGTAATAATAATCCTTGCATTTGATATAGCGCTTTTCAAGTCTTCTCGATGTCTCAAAGGGCTTCACAGAATAGACTGTAAAGTGAATTGACCGTATATTTGTGGGCGAAACACGGCAGCCAATTATAGAGGGTGAAGAGGAGGGGACCGAGGACAGAGCCAGGAGAGGGGTGGGGATGGGGTCCAGGGAGCAGGTGGTGAGCTTCATGGAGGAGATATGGTGGTGATGACAGAGAAGGGGGTGATGGGTTCAAAAGTGTGGAAGGAAGGGATGGGTAGTGTTCGGAGTGTAGGTGGGGGGTAGGGAGGGGGTGGAAGTTGGAAGGGCAGTGACAGCTGAGAATAATTCTCTCGATTTTGGACTCGAGGAAATCCAGCCTTTCCTCGCAGTGGGAGTCGGAGGAAAGAATATGCGAGGCGTGGCGAGGAGAGCGAAGGAGCCGGTTGGTAGTGGAGAACAGGAGCCTGGGATTGCCCTTCGCCTCCAGGATTAACCTCGAGTAGAAGGATGATTTGGCCAAGGCGAGAGCGGAGCGGTAGGTCTTGATGAGGTCCAGCCAGATGTGCTGGTGGAACGTTAGGCCGGATTTGAGCCAAGTGCATTGAGGGGCCCGCACCTGACCCTTGAGCGAGCGGAGATGGCTGGTGAACCAAGATGAGGATCGGGAATAGGAGGCAGTTCGAGAGGTAAGGGGTGGGGGGGTACTGTGGATGAGAGTAAACGCAGAAGATGGGTTGGTGCAGGAGGTGGGCCAGAGGAGTTCAGAGAACTCCAGAGCAGCGGAGAGGGATTGCGGGGAGATCTTCTTCCACGGGCAGTAGAAGATGGTGGTAGGTTTGGAGGCAGTGGGGAGAAGGATGTAGGGGTTGAGGAAGATTAAATGGTGGTCAGACAGAGAGCAAACGCAGTTTAAAACAGAGAAACAGGAGCTGTGAGATTAAGCAGAAGTGGTGTGGTTGACCTGAACATCCTAGAGATCTAAAAACAAGAGAGTGGTGGACAGAGCGATAAAACTATAAACACAGTGATCCCGGGTACAGTTAAGAAGGAACAAAGTATTAGAATGGTTAGCCAACGACTAACCTTCAAGACGATAGAGGCGACTTTAAATTGCGTCTACATACAAATCACCTCGAACGGGCATAACAATGTAAATTGCAGTGACTGGGTATTTTGTGGGCGAATATTGCATGCGTACAACACACACAGAATCTGAATCCACTCACACAGCCTGCAACGATAAAAGTACTCACAACTAAACTCTCCAATATTTCCAAACACTATTTTAATGATCACTTCTGATGACCAAAGATAGACAAATTGTTCATCACAATACAAAAAGGGTACAAAATGTGAAATTACAGGGCTTAAAAATTAAAGGTTTTCAAAAGATACAAGGTCGTACTCAACCTCTTATACTGTACATTTACATCATATTGTCTCAGAATTGATAAGCAGTAAAGCCCTGCTGTGGGTGTATGTGTGTTTGTGTTTCCTTCGGGATAAAATTAAAAATAGCAACAGCAAGAACATGTACGAGTCAGTAGAATGGTCAGGAAAATAAACATTTCTGCCACCATATTGCAAACACTAGCCTAAGTGAAGAATTCTTTCCTGGGATAAAGACTGCTTTGAAGTTCTTTTGTGTTTATCATTTTACCATCGTGTGTAAGATTCTCTCCAGATTTCCCCTTCTATCGCTGCTCCATTTTCACTTTGGGAGGTTTCAGAAAACTTCTCTGTTTTTTCTCTTTTTTGCCCTTTTTGTTAGCCTGGAAGTTTCTCCAGCTGTCGACCCGCCCGTCTCTGCTCTCCTGCGGTAGGTAGCGAAAGGCACAGGGTTAATCAGTCTGCGATCGGTAACTTTTCAAAAAAATGTGTAATTAAATCAACATCTCTGGGTTTCCTGTTATTCCTCCAGGACATGAGCCTCGAGTTTGTGGACTGGCCACGATGTTGGAAAGTGGTGGGATAGACTTGAAGACTCCACACCAGTCTCCACCCATTCCTTACTCCCTCCCACACCCTTCTATTCCCATCTCCCTCAAGTGAAAGTCTAGCTTCCGCTTGAATGCATGACAAACAAGAGTAGGAATTTCTCTCTCCCCTCTCCCCCCACCCCCCACCCCCACACAAACTCTGTAAAAGTATTTAAAAACGACTTCTACAAACCTCAAAATTTTTCTGCCACTCTTTATCCCGTTTGGCTTTTTCTTCTGCTTCGATCTCCTCTTCTCTTTGTCGTTTCCTACAGTCAAGGTGTAAAATATAAACAAATAAGATTTCTTTTTCTCCGCTTGGTTAACGTTCAGGTTAATATTGGGACACCCAGATTTGCCTTCATCGCAGCTTTGGGGGCACAAAGTTTGAACAACAACAATAATAATAATTAATCCTTGCATTTGACATAACGCCTTACCACGTCTTTGAGATGTCTCAAAGGGTATCATAGAATACATTGTAAAGTGGATTGCCTGTGTATTTTGTGGGCAAAACGCGGCAGCCAGCAGTGTCCCAGAAACAGTCGTGGATTGAGTGCCCAAATTTAGCATCAATAAAAATGTCTGACCTCTCGTGCATCTCTCTGGCTTCCCGCTCCTTCCTCTTGATTTCCAGCTCTGCAAACAGCTTCATTGTTTGTTTGTGTACAGATTGTTTGAACTGAAAGATTGAAGTGATCATTAGATCTTATCATCGATTGAACTGCAAAACACAGAGCTGAGCTGGCATGCAACTCATTGTGCATTAAAGCAAAGCAAAACCTGTTTTTGTTGTTCAGTCTGCCTAAAGCAAGACAATTCATGGGATTCATGAAACCCTCCCCAAATATTCGTCCAAAGTGCTGCACAACGTTCTGATTGCAATCCGTAGAGATCAACCACCACCATTACAAAAAACTTGCATTTATATAGCGCTTCTGACGCAGGGTAATGTCCCAAAACCATAGGCCTGGCTTTACAAAGATTATCTCTGGGCTGGTTGAGCCCCAGGGCGTGCTCTCCCACACCCACACCCTCAACCCCCCACCTCAACTCTCTCTCTTCTGAGCGACACGATTCGAGTGGACTCCTAAACGTTTTATGTACATGAACAGATCTCGCTCCTAAAAAAAAATTTTCCAAGCTCATATCTCTGCCTCTCCCATTCTTGTCTCTTCTCTACTCAACACCCGCCCTCCTTATCTGCCAGCAAACTGGCACAAACTAAAAACAATTCAAACTTTCAGTAGTAAGGGGGGGAAAAAAAACACCCATTTCCCTTTCCAGTCTCTGAACTTCCCAATAAGAAAGTTGAGCAAAGGCAAACTAGATTTTAAGAAAATGAAAAGTGTTACAGGGGTTTGCCATACTACTTTCTCCCCCCTCTCACCCCCCGCCCCCCACCCTCCCAACCTCAAATGCGTTGGAATCTAGACTGAGAACGAAGGATTCAGCATATGATTGTCTGAAAGCACACTATACAACAGCCTCAATGCACTTTCCAGTGGTTGAACCTTGGGACGTCCTCCTGACCTGAAAGGTGCTATACAAATCTAATCGTGTTGTTGTTGAACCACCTACGGCAAAATAAACTTTTCTTAGAAAAAACATACAGTTGCAAGTTCAGAAGATTACTGCACACAGTGAAAGGGGGCGAATTACCACCCTGGCAGTCACTTGACATGTCATGTCCTAAACTATACCCCGTATACTGAGATACTATTTTCTAGCAGAAATCTAATTTGTTAATTTTCTTGAAAATAGACGACAAGAAGAGTGTGAGCATTACTGAATTGGCAGAACAAAACAATAACAAAATTGTATTTATACAGCATCCTTCTGATGTGAAAGGCGCTAACTATATCAATGTAATTCTTTTGTTGTTTTTGCCAAGTATAGACACACTCGGCAGTTTCCCTAATTTTATTATGACACGACAAAAAGCATCTTATCCTCCTTCAAATGCAAAGACTACATAAACACCGGCATGGACCAGTTTAATAATACAACAATAATCCTTGCATTTGATACAGCGCCTTATCACGTCTTCGAGACATCTCAAAATGCTTCACAGAGTATACTGTAAAGAGAATGGACTGTATATTTTGTGGGAGAAACGAGGCAGATAATTGTGCACAGCAGCTTCCCACGAACAGTGGTGGATTGACTGACTACTTTTTTTATATAAAAGGGATTATTACTCCCAGAAAAGCGATCTGCCAATCAACTAACAACTGAGTTTCTACTTACTGCTAGGTAAAGAGGCATCTGGAGTAAGGAAATTTGCCCAACATTTCGCCCTGCCCGGGAATCGAACCCAGGTCCTATCGTTTGCGAAGCGAGAGCACTGACCACTAAACTACAAGGCAATAGGTGATGGCTTATTTCCATGCCCACGATTCCAAGTAATTCTGTGCAAAAAAGGTTCCTTTACCATAAACTTCTCCCTCTCTTACCACATCCTCATCGTCCTCCTCCACGAGTATTGGCTTGCCTTCCTTCTTTAGTAACTTCCTTTTTTCTTTCATCTTCAAAAAGGAATAAAAGAAGATTTCAAAGGGTTGAACTCATTTATTCTGTTTTTTTATTTTAAAAAGAGGTAAATGCTGAAAGCAAGAAGAATTTAAACGATTACTCGGGGACATACTGCATGAGATTAAACAGGACATTTGACTCAATATCTGATTAAGAAGTTCAGGAATCGGAAAAAAAATTTCACACTAGGGGATCCAAAGGCAAAAACTGAACAAACGAATCGCAAACTTAGCTTTCCAGATCCATTTGTTTAATCCGAAATAATGTTTTTGGAATAAATAATTCTTTTTAAGAGATACGAACAAGATAAGAGTATATTCGCACAATATAATAATAATCCTTGCATCTGATATGGCACCTTATCACGTCGTCACGACGTCTCAAAGTGCTTCTACTGCAGAAGAAGAAAGAACAAGTCGTTACAAATTGCCCAATCTTTAGCAACTGGGATCCTGATTAACTCACAGTGGTGGCCCATTAGAACGTGCTCGGTCGGAGCCCGTTAAAAAAAAAACTTGTCTTAAGTGGACATGTTAAAAAATGGCCGCAAACAGGTTATACTGACATCACTTCTTGTGCATGGACGTTACGTGTGACTGTGCTTCTAGCAGACCATCGCTTTTTCCAGCCTGTGATAACTGAGTCCAAGTGTATCGCATTATCTTCCAGCAATGTCATGACATCATGTGAAGTTATATATAACAAAAAAAATTCCATGATCAACTTTTCTAAAATCATTCCATTCTCTAGCTCTTTCCACACATTTCTCAATGTTTTTAACTGTTCAGCTGCTTAATCCAGTTCCCCATTAGAATGACTGTATTGATTCAGCCTCAAATCACTTCTTGTGGTGATGAACTCCACACCCCAACAACCTTCTGAGTGAAGAAATTCCATCTAACCTCTCCCCTGAGTCTTCTGCCCCAAATCTCATGACCGTGACCCGTTCATTCCGCCACTGAAGGAAATGGAATTTTCTTATTTAACCTGGTTACGTCCCCTTCCGGACCTTCAGCATCTCTGCCAGATTCTCACTGCAACTGGGGTCAGACATTTAAGTCACCAACAATATGTGGGCCAAGTTTCAGTTCCCATTTCGGTCATATTTGTGTCACAGAGATTAAAATCAGGTTGCCACAGGAAGAAGTGAAACTCTTCCTCTTCCCCCTGGCTCGGTCCCGGGACCTGTTACTGTAAAGCGCTCTGAGACCCCGTCCAGCGTGGAGGGCGCTATAGAAATCCAAGTTGTTGTTGAACAAAGTTGCATGAGGAAGCAGGAAGTGTTTCCTTGACGGTTTAACACTAAATGCATCATCCATGGAGGAGCAAAACTCTACTTCTGGGCAATGTTCAGGTCGGCTAAGTTCATCCAGGGTGCTGGGAGAGACGCTAATACAGGTCTCAGTGGCCTAGATAATAAATAATAACAATGCATAGGCCTTTCACGCCTGCAGGAGGTCTCAAAGCGCTACACGAGATATACTGTAAAGCGGAGCGTCAGTACACTTTGTGGGCTAAAGTCAGACAAGGTTCCTACTGGACAGTGATTCCTGCTCGAAAGTGAACAAATGCATGTTTTTTTCGGTTAAGACAGTTGTCTGGCATATGCAGAAACACATCACCATGTTTATGCGGATCCAAACCAAACTGAGAGTTTCACGCATCCTACCTATACATGGAAATTCCAGAGATAGTTGGTGGAATGGAATGTGCACTCTCTCCCTGGAGGGACACATCCTGCTTACCTAATTTAGGGAAGTATTAGCTGCAGGTTGACAAAAAAACAAGGCTGGGGAAACCAGCCCGTATGCTGGGGTACTGCTGGAGTGTAACCAGCTAAAACCACATAACTTGCCACGTGGTTTGGCTTGCAGGATTAATGGGGGCTGAGTGGGAAGAGTCCCAGCCACTGGTGACTGGTCTGCCCTTCAAAGTCCTGCCGATGAGTCAGGCTGGTCTGTGCTGAAATCAGCAGTGCGCTGGAATAATGTGGACCCACTTAGCTCAGGAGCCAGACCACAGAGACCGCCACAGAGCGCTCGACGATTCTGACACTCCATTGCCAAACATGTCACCTTGGAGCCAGTTCAGTGGAGCTTAAGCAGCAGCTGTACGAACGTGCGTTCACAAACTCGGAACTTATCAATTGGAGGCCAGGGTCGGGTTCAGTTCAGCTATTAGAGGTCTCACCTCGGAGGCAGGAGCTGTGGCTTAAAGAAAGAGAACGCAGAGCAAATCCTCTGGATTCTGAGAAGGCGTTGTTGAAACGCCGATTTTGTTTATTGTGCAGTGCAACAGAGTTACCTAGCGGCAAAGCACTGCACTGCAAGGACAGACGCTTTTGAAGGAGGTACCAAAGATTGCTTCTTGTCTCTGCTTGTTGATCTAGTACAAGGGTTTGGTCACGTAGCTCTGTTAATTGCACGTCTGTGCTTTGAAGTGTGCATTCAGCCACTCAGTGGCATTGTTGAAACCAGCTGAACAGAGTTGTCAAGCAAACAGAAACAATACAATTTACACGTGCGCGGCGCCACTCACGTCACGAGGATGTCTCGAAGCGCTTGACACTGCTGGATGGGCAACCGAGCTGGGGGCGGGTGACGAGGGGACTGGGGAGGGAGGGGGAAAGGATGCTTAAAAACAAGGTTGAAAAGGTACGCTTTGAGGCATGGCTTGAACGAGGTGGGGGGAGAGCAAGTGACTCAGGTAACGGCCCAGTAAGATGCATTTCAACACACCAACTCGGGAGGGAATTTTGCCACAGTGCCCTCCAATGGCAAGAATAAGTTACTGAGTCGAGCACACCAAATTCTCAAAAATATATCCTATAAAACCCCAATTTGTGTGCCAAATAATTTAAATGAGCAAGCAGGTACAATAATAATACAATAGCGCCGTTCACAGCGGGAGGGTGTCTCAAAGCACTTGGATACATTTAACTCCAACCGTCCATAAACAGTGATCTCAAAACACTCGCGATATTTTTGGCTTAATGATCGGGGCAGTGTCAAACCCAAAAGTGCTGACCGCAGCTATGTACAGACTGTAACTTGAGCTGGGTCAGCAAATCAGCGGGGAAATCCACACTGTAATCAAGTGTCCATTTTAAATCGGACGTGCTCTTGAGCAGATGTCATCACTGATAAAAGTTACCAACCGAGTCTGGTGTTCAAGATTATGTCCTAAAAATCGTTTACTTTCTCGGCCACTTACATTATGTTCTATGGTCTCCCTCGCCGCTTGGATCACATCGATAGCCCGCTTTTTCTGGTCTCCCTCCAGCAGCATTTTGTAGGCTTTGTCAACAGCTATTGCAGAAGCAAAAATAACCAGACGATTAATGTGCGTAGAAATGTCATATGCGACAATGAATAGAGCGAACGGTTACCAAAGAGGTTCAATTCTTCCTAGTCAAATAATAATCCGTGCATTTGATATAGCGCCTTATCACGTCTTTGTGACGTCTCAAAGTGCTTCACAGAATATACCGTAAAGTGAATTGACTGTGTATTTTGTGGGCGAAACAAACCTTAGTTTAACGTCTCATCCGAAGGACGGCACCTTCGACAATGCAGCACCCCCCACCACCCACCAGCTTAGTGGGAGTGTCAGCTTAGGCTATGTGATTCCAAGTCATGCTGTGGAGTTTGAACCTACAACCTTCTGACTCAAGAGGCGAGAATGCTACCACTGAGCCAAGCTGACGAAACATAAACCCTTTCTTTCCAGCCACACTTTTGGTTTCCCTCAGTCAGTTCTGTGAAACGCTTTTTGTTGGACTGTACAAGTATCATTTGTGGTGTTTTTCGATGAAAGGTTCATCTGGAAAGATTTGTAAATCGCTGTGTGTTCGTTGTTTTTTTCAAAAGAATTGTCACATAGAAATTGTAAAAAAGCTTACAAAACCCATCACACACTTACCTTCGAAAGCCTTCTGTGCTCTTTCAGGATCATCCTGATTCTTGTCTGGATGCACCAGGATGGACAGCTGAAAGTGTACAGAACACAATTGTGGCACTCGCACAATTCAACAAAGAAAGAACTTCAATAGAATTAAGTTCCAACAACATCAAGCCGAGCAGCAATTTTCATGTGAAGGTTTTCAAGTTAAGAGGATATTTGGGGCATTATTTCCCCTCTCCCACCCCTCCTCCTCAAGAATAGAGCTTTTTCCTCTTCCAGGATAGATGCTCTCCATTTGATAACTCACACAATGTTAGTAGTAATCCTTGCATTTGATATAACGCCTTAAAGCTTTCCTACTGCTTGTCCAGCTAGGACCACCCGACTGCTAGGACTTTGGCTTGCAGGGTTAACAGGAGCTGAGTGGCATGATTCCTTGCCCTCAGTGACTGGTCTGCCCTTCCAAGTCCACCCGATGAGACAGGCTGGCTGTGCGGACCCTACTGCGGACGAGCCTGGCTCAGGAAACAGACTGCCAAGGCAGCCACGTAGGGTTGACTCGATTCCGACATTTCGTTGCCAAACATGTCAACTTGGGAGCCAGTTTAGTTAACTTAAACTGAAATAAAGCTACAGAGATCTCAGGTGTGCTGTACCAAACTAAGACTGATGAACACCCCCTCATCCAGTACTATAAATGGAAATATGCAGTTAGTTCAGGAAACAAGTGTTCATATGCCCTTGGAGACTAAAAAGCTACTCCTTGATCTCAAAGTCAAAGCACCTGGGCAAGTACAGAAACAGTAATGATCATGAAAATGTTAAGATGCAACTATAACATATTTAAGTGCATAATTACAATAGCTTCACATCATGCACAGAACAGCTAAAGCTTACAACCAAGCTTACACAAGTGCATTTTAATACTTACACAAGAGTAAAACAGCAAGTTTGCTTTTTTCCTTTTACTAAAAACATGAGCAATTCACTCTTGTATCACTATAAGCACAGAAAACATTGGAGGAAAAAGGCTTACAACTAAAAGCAACTTGTTTCCAGCCACCATCAGTAATGTCAATTCCTGTTAAATGAACAATCTGTTTTCATTCCTCCCCCACATTTCACTGACCAACAATTCAGTGAAAGATTGGTAACATTTGGTAATAATTTTCTGTTGGGACGTTTCATTGTAATTTAAGATTTTTTTTCTCCTCCCATCTCACCGCCCCCACACCCAGTTTCATGCAATTAATTAGCTGCAACCACATGGTAGACCGAGGAGATAGCAAACATTGGTGATGCTCTACACAGAAGGCAATTGACCATGTGGAAGTTGAGAAACTGAACGTGGCAATTTATACCATCTGAAACGAAGGAGTCGTTTCAGCATTTAAAAAAAAATAAAATTCAGTTAACATGGATGAATATAATGAGTGTAGACTGAAAATGGTTTGGATTTTTTTTCCAATTTCTATTTATTTACAGCAGAAAATTTTCACTTAAGTGGAGTCGACTGTACCTAAGATTTTCTGCTACCTTAGCCTGTAGCATGTCAAACAGAGATGTTTCTACCTGTCTGAACCTCTTTTTCAGTTCTTCATCTGTTGCTTCAGGATCAATCTGTAATACCTGTGCAATAAATAAAAACCCACGTCAACTCTTACAATGCGTCAAGAAGACAGTGTTGTTAGGAAATGACCACATCTTTTAAAAGACGACTTCCAATTGACGGGAATAGTGGCGCTTTCTCATCCATTATTCTCTGCATAGAAATTACCTCATGTGCCTCTATGGTGGGAGTTTTGAAATAAGCAATCCCTCGCCCCACCCCCACAGGTCTCCCTCCTGGATCCCATTTCATTCTAAGAAAGCACATCTAGTGTGGATTCATTCCAATAACTTTGGAAATAGAATATGCCTGCTAACCAGAACTAAGACTGGAAGAGATCCTGGTTTATATAAGCCGTTATCTTCTGTAGTGTATTAATAATAAACCTTGCATTTGATATAGCGCTTTTCACGTCTTTTAGACGTCTCAAAGCGCTTCACAGAATATACTGTAAAGTGAATTGACTGTATATTTGTGGGCGAAAGGCAGCAGCCAAATGCGCACGGCAGCGTCCCACAAACAGTCGTGGATTGAGTGACCAAATTGTTATTGCTTTTTTTTCTTGAGGGATTATCATCAGGTGTGTAGAGTAAGGAAACGTGCCCAAGGTTTCACCCTGCCGGGAAACGAACCCAGGCCTCTCGCTTGCAAGCAGGCCAAGGTCAAATTCCTCTAACATGGGACTGGCATTCAACCAGTCGGCCTGGTTAACTTGGTAGCACTTGCTTCCCTGCTTCAGAAGACTGTGGGTTGGAGACCCCACTTTGAGCCCAGAATTCTCTAAGATGCCCCAGTATGTTGGTGAGAAGCGATTCATTTTCAGTTGGTGCCGTCCATCAAACATGACGTGAAACCAAGCTCTCATCTGCCTGTTCTGGTGGACGTTAACAATCCCGTGACATTATTTAAAAAGAGAAGGGAGTTTCTCCCGGCATTCTGGCCAATAATTTCCCAGATAAATTGGTCTTTCACTCTGCCAGTCAGTGGGTTGGGGTAGTTTATGTGCAGAATGAGTCATTGCCTCTAGGAGAGAAAACAGTTACCTCCTCGTTTCCTTCAGGAGAATACGTTGCAGACTATTACTCCACTTGTCACTTACTTCGAACGGATTTAAATTGATGTAGGAGGATCCTGGTCTCGTCAATCTCTCGATTTGCTGTATTGGAGTTAGTACAGAGTCCCTCTTCTCAATTTGCTTAACCTGCAGGAACACAACACAATGTTGTAACTAAGGGCACTGCTTATTAAACTTTACTTGTCACATTACAGACCGACCCTCTTGCACGGCAGTGGCTTAGTTCCATAAACTCAGACTCTATGTTGTAATGGAGTGTGTTGAAAAATGGCCATCGGTAAGCATTTCCAGATTGTCAGGTTGTCTGAGGTGAGTGTGGGGTAAAACAGCTTACACTCAATTGCACAGGAAAACAAATACCGGAGGAAGAGAACAGCGTGACATTTTGTTTCACTGGAGTACGTGAAAGCATTGAAGAAAGGAAAAAGAATTACAAAGATTCAACAAATATAATAGATAAGAGCTATACACTGTAAATGTACATTATAACTATGTAGCAGAATTAAATCAAAATATCAAGAGTAATTAGAATTCTAGTTTAGAATAGATTACAATCTAAGATTGCGAGGCTATGTTAAACTGCTGAGATTCACTTACTGCCAGAATAGAACAGTGGACAGATGCCCATAATAATAATAACCTTTGCATTTGATATAACTCTTTTGCACGTCTTCGAGACGCCTCAAAGCGCTTCACAGAATATACTGTAAAGTGAATTCAAGATCGAATTCAAGATCCTCATCCTCACCTACAAGGCCATTCACGGCCTCGCTCCCTCCTACCTCTCTGACCTACCTACCTGCCCGTACCCTCCGTTCTTCTGGCTCCGGTCTGCTCCACATCCCCCGCCCCAACCGCCCTACCATCGGTGGCCGGGCCTTCAGCCTCTCAGCCTCGAGGCTCTGGAACTCCATCCCCAGTGCCTTCGCCGCCTCCTCTCTTTCCTCCTTCAAGGCCGGTCTCAAGACCTTTCGCTTTGACCTTCAGCCTTCAGCTCCCCTCTCGACTCTCTTCCCCCTCCTCGCTCCCTCCCTTCCCTCCCCTCACCCTGACCATTTCCCCCCAATGCTCGGGTCCTGACCCAACTGTACAGCGCCTCGGGACGTCCTCCCGACGTGAAAGGCGCTCTATAAATGGAATCTTGTTGTTGTTGTTGTTGAATTGACTGTATATTTGTGGGCGAAACGCGGCAGCCAATTGCGCACAGCAGTGTCCCACAAACAGTCGTGGATTGAAGTGACCAATTTATTATTGTTTTTTTTGAGGGACTATTATCAGGCGTGTGGAGTAAGGAAACTACGCTCAACCCGAATACCACCCAATAGAACTTGCACAATTGTTCAGTACAGTCCCAGTATAACATGCTTTATTACAGCACAAATTTAGCTGGACTGTGGACCCCGGTCATTGTGCACGTGTGTGTCTGTCCCGCTTACGTCTTCAAGATGTCTCAAAACGCTTCACAGGACTGCGGAACGTACTGACTGTTTATTTTCGTAACTGAATACTAGCAATATTCTCGCGAAGGGATCAAGCCGAGGAATTAATGCCATTGTCCTATGGTCATTGTCCTGTGTCCCGTTTATTGAACAACAATAAATAATAACAATAATAATCCTTGTATTTGATACTGCGCCTTTCACATCGGGATGATGTCTCAAAGTGCTTCGCAGAGCTTACTTTAAAGTGATGCGACTTGTGTATTTTGTGGGTGAACGCGGCAGACCATTCGCGCACAGCAACTGCCATGAAGTCAGTGACCGATTTTATTGGGGGGGGGGGGGGGGTGGTGGGGGGGGAGATTGTCGGCCAGGAGCACCGGAAGAGAGAAAAAAAAACCCTTTCTCTTTTCAAATAGCGCCGCGGGGACCTTTAACATCCACAGGCGCGGACGGGGACTCGGTTTAGGGCCTCACCCCGAGGTACGGCGTCTCCGACAATGCGGCGCTGAGCCCCCCCCCCCCCCACCGCCGCCGCTCATCGCCACCCACCCCCCACCCGGCACCGCACTGGGTCCTCAACGGCCTGGACGGTCAGTTCGAGGTGCTGACGCGGGGCTTGAACCCAACGACCTCCCGGCTCCGGGAGGCCGGAGCACCTGCGGCAGGGCTCCCTTCAGTCCATCTTCACCCCCACCATCCCCAACCCCCATCCCCCCCCCCCCCTGAGTATCCAGGTCAGTTTGCAGACCAGCTCTTGCTCCTCGGGGCAGGGGGCGGTGGTGGTGGGGGGGGACACGGGTGTCAAGGAGCAAAAAAGCTCCAGCAAAGAAAAAAAACTGCCCCCCCACACCCCACCCCCACCCCCACCCCCCACCCCCCACCCCCCACCAGCTGAAGCTCTGAAAGTCCCCCCAACAGCCCAACCCCTCCAAACCCCTCTCAATGGTCCCTCCGCGGTTACTCAGCGCTTTGGGGCCACATTTGGCGGCACAGCCCCCCAGTGCCCAGTGCCCAGTGCCCGTGAAGCAGCCCCTGACCCCCCCTCACCCCCCCCCCACCCCTCCCCCTCCCCCACTGACAGGAGGGCTTCTCCCACACACTCAAGAGGCCGAGTCACTCTCTCTCTCACTCTCTCTCCAGCCCCGGGGCCTACCCCTCAGGCTCTCCCCCCGGGGGACACTTTCCCCACCAAACCCGCTGGGGGTGCCCTGGGAGTGGGGGGGAGGGGAGCCTCGGCCCCCGGTCTCCCCCCTCTCTCTCCCCCTCTCCCCCTCTCGGCCTCCCCCAGGCGGAGGCGGCGGCTGGTACCTCGGTCAGGAACACTTTGAACGCCTCCTCGCCGCCGGGATCCTTCTCCTTCTCCTGCGCCGCTCCGCTGGAAGACGCCATTTTCCTCCCCGGCTGCCCACGTGACCCCGGAGCCGCGCGTGGCCCCCCTCCCCTCCCCTCCCCCACTCCCCCCCTATGGATTCCATACCCTTCCCGCCCACCCTATGGGTGCCGGGCACTCTCACCCTATAGATCCCCCCCACCCTGTGTGTGTGTGTGTGTGTGTGTGTGTTCCGTGCATTCCCACCCCATATATAACGCCTATATCCCATACACCCCCCACCCTATATGCTCCAAACATTCCCACCCTATATAATGCCTATATCCCATACACCCCACCCTATATGCTCCAAACATTCCCACCCTATATAATGCCTATATCCCATACACCCCCCACCTTATATGCTCCAAACATTCCCACCCTGTATAATGCCTATATCCCATACACCCCCCACCCTATATGCTCCAAACATTCCCACCCTATATATAATGCCTATATCCCATACAACCCCATCCTATATATATATATTCCATGCATTCCCACTCCGCATATGCCACGCGTTCTCACCCTATAGATTCCACACACACACACACCCTATGTGTTCCGTACACTCCCGGCCTACACGCGCCGCGCAGGCTCACCCTATATACTCCACGCATTCCCACCCGATGTGTTCCACACATTCCCTCATGGTGTATATTCCAGACAGTCGCATCCTATCTATTCCATACATCAACCGCCCTATGTATTCCATACATTCCCATCAGCATATATGCTCTATGTATTTTCTCGCCCTATACATTCCACGTGTACCCTCATCCAATATACTGTATTTCCAATATATACCCCCATCCTATATATTCTCTCACTCTATATACACAACACCCACCTCATATACACTCCCCTCAACCTATACACACCACTCACCCTACATATACCCTATTCAATAATGTGCATTCTCTCAACCTATACACACTCCCCTCATCCTATAAAACCACACTAACCTTATATACACTACACTCTCTCATATACACTGTATACGCCGCTCTCACCCCATATACACCTTACAGTAATATCCTGTGAATGCAATGATCATTTCGCAGCATTCATTCGGGACATTTCCTTTTAGGAAAGCTCATTTTCAGCATACGGAACAATCCAAATTCTTGACCTTGGTTTGGATATAATAAGTAGAATTGTTCTGTTGTAACATGTAGCAGGAAGATAAGATATACCGAGAAGCACTGAAGCGGATTTACAGATACTTAGTTTCTGGGAGGAAAATTGCGATTGTGTTCAATGTGGGGACACAAAGATGCGCACATTAGTGCTCGGGAAAAAAAACTGGAATGGTCTGTTTGGTTCACAGTCGGTGGCAACCAACGCGAGCGTCGCCCCCAACGCTCGTTCCCCTTCCTTCCGCCGTACCTCAACGCCAGACGCAACGGGACGGGGACGATGACACCGCTTAACGCCTGTCGCGCTCCCCTACAAAAAAAAAACACGCGGCCGCGACACCGGACGGTAAAAAAATCCCGCGAAGCGCTTTCAGACGTCTTGGCGACCGGACGAGGCGGCGGAGCCACATGCCATGAGAGCATCAAATGATTATTACTGCAGTAATGCTCCGTATAAGTCACTGAAGGAGCGGAAATATGTGGCTTCAAACCTGTGTGAGGTGAGGCAAGGTGTGTGGGCGTGTCCTGGGGGGGGGCGTGTCCGGTGGGTCGGGGAGGGGCGTGGCCTGATGCGTTTGGGGGCGTGTCTGGTGGGCGGGGCGTCGGCGGCGGCATTTGAAAGGGGGCGTGTCTGCGGGCGGGTCCGGAGGGTTCGCGGGGCGTGTCCGTTGGCGGTCGGGCCAATGGGGGGGGCGTGTCGGTGGGCGGGTCTGGAGGGTTCGCGGGGCGTGTCCGTTGGCGGTCGGGCCAATGGGGGGGGCGTGTCGGTGGGCGGGTCTGGAGGGTTCGCGGGGCGTGTCCGGTGGCGGTCGGACCAATGGGGGGGCGTGTCGATGGGCGGGTCTGGAGGGTTCGCGGGGCGTGTCCGTTGGCGGTCGGGCCAATGGAGGGGGTGGGGGCGTGTCGGTGGGCGGGTCTGGAGGGTTCGAGGGGCGTGTCCGTTGGCGGTCGGGCCAATGGAGGGGGTGGGAGGCGTGTCGGTGGGCGTGTCGGTGGGCGGGGCTTGTGGGGAGTGTGGGCGGGGCCGGGTCACCCACCTACTTACCGGGCGCGCGGGCCGGCAGCCATCATTCGGTTGCGGGGCAGCGGGTGGAGGATGGCGCGACTTCTGATGAGGAGTCAGTTGGCTCGGCAGCTGCGCAGTTACTCCGATTCCAGCCAGGTGAGGCAGCGAGGCGCCGGCCAGGCCTCGGAGACTCACACCCTCGGCCCCCCCCCCCACTCACCCCGGGGCCTAGTCCTCAGGCTCCCCGCTGCAGTTCAACTCTCACCCGCTGTCTAACCGCCCACTTCTCTCTCTCTCTCTCTCTGTCCTCCCGTCAGGTGAGGCGGCCTCGGGCACCCGGGTGTCTCGGTCCGGCCTCAAGGTCAGCGGCGGGGCCGCAGCTCTCCACCGCCTGACTGACCCGCGGCCTTCACTCAACCTCCAGCCCTCGGGCTGCCCTCACGGTGGTTGTTGTTGTTGTTGTTGGTGGTGGTGGTGGGGAGGGGGTCTGACCTGACGCCCCGGCACCGCAGAGCCGGGGGTCGCGGTGGCCCGGTGTCCTGGTGGAACAGACAGGTTTGTGGGGCTGGAGTTAACCACAGAGACTGAGAGAGTGCGGGGGGGAGGGGGGCGTCAGAGCGATAGAAAGTCAGAGAGGGAGGGGGCAGAGAGGCAGAGGGGGAGGAGGGGGGGTGTCAGAGAGACAGAGGGGGGGTGTCAGAGAGACAGAGGGGGGGTGTCAGAGACAGAGGGGGGGGGTCAAGACAGAGGGGGGGGGGGTCAGAGACAGAGGGGGGTGTCAGAGGACAGAGGGGGGGTGTCAGAGAGACAGAGGGGAGAGGTGTCAGAGAGACAGAGGGGAGAGGTGTCAGAGAGACAGAGGGGGGGTGTCAGAGGAGAGGGGGGGTGTCAGAGGCAGAGGGGGGGGTGTCAGAGGACAGAGGGGGGGTGTCAGAGAGACAGAGGGGGGGTGTCAGAGGCAGAGGGGGGGGTGTCAGAGGCAGAGGGGGGGTGTCAGAGGCAGAGGGGGGGGTGTCAGAGGCAGAGGGGGGGTGTCAGAGAGACAGAGGGGGGAGGTGTCAGAGAGACAGTGAGGGGGAGGTGTCAGAGAGACAGAGAGAGGGGGGGTGTCAGAGAGACAGAGGGGGGGGGTGTCAGAGAGCAGAGGGGGGGGTGTCAGAGAGGCAGAGGGGGGGGTGTCGGAGGCAGGAGGGGGGGGGTGTCAGAGCAGAGGGGGGGTGTCAGAGGCAGAGGGGGGGTGTCAGAGGCAGAGGGGGGGGGTGTCAGAGGCAGAGGGGGGGTGTCAGAGGCAGGAGGGGGGGGGGTGTCAGAGGCAGAGGGGGGGGGGTGTCAGAGGCAGAGGGGGGGGTGTCAGAGGCAGAGGGGGGGTGTCAGAGAGACAGTGAGAGGGGGGGGGTGTCAGAGAGACAGTGAGAGGGGGGATGTCAGAGAGACTGATTTCATTTGTATAGCACCATCCACGTCGGGAGGACGTCCCAAGGCGCTGGTTAGTCGGTGTTTCAGACCCGAGCTGGGGGTTGGGATTGGGGAAGGGGGAGGGCAGGGGGGAGGTCGGGTGATTGAAAGCTTTGTTGAAGAGGAGAGTCTTGAGATCGGTCTTGGAAGGAGGCAGCGGGACTGCAGATTGGAGTTCCAGAGAGCGTGGGCAGAGTGGCAGAAGGCCTGCCCGCCAATGGTGAAGCAGGCTGGATCCCGCTGAGTGGAAGACGCGGGCAGAATGGTAGAGGGTTAGGAGGTCACAGAGGTGGGGGTGGGGAGCAAGGCCATGGAGGGCTTTGAAGGTGAGGATCAAGATATTGAACTGTATCCTCTGTGTGATGGGAAGTCAGGAGAGTCGCGCGAGGATAGGGGGCGGTAGGGTCACGGAGCCTGGTGCAGGAGAGGACATGGGCTGCAGAATTCTGGATGATCTGCAGCTTAGAGAGGGAGAAGTTGGGGAGGCCATCAAGCAAGGAGTTTGCATAGTCAAGCCTTGATGTTATAATGCGCGTGTGAGCATTTTGGCAGCCTGCGGTGTGAGGCAGCGGTGGAGCCGGGCAATGTTACGGAGTTGGGGGAAGGCAGAGTGGGTTACAGCACCGACGTGGGGTAGAAAGAATAGTTGAGACGTCTCAAAGTGCTTCACAGAATATATTGTAAAGTGAATTAATTGTATATTTTGTGGGCGAAACACAGCAGTGTCCCACAAACAGTCGTGGATTGAGTGACCACATTTTTTGTAAAAAGGAATTATTACCCCCGACAAAGCAATCTGTTAATTGACTAACAACCAGATTTCTACTTACTACAAGGTAAACAGGGGTGTAGAGTAAGGGTGAAATGTCGGGCAAGTGAAAGGCAGAATTGTCAGCAATGACGGACTTTCACATAAAATAATTTTTTATACAACTGGAAAGTCTAAAGACAAGCAAATTCGAGTCAAGCTGCAACAAGTCACTTGTGAATTTAGTTTTAATTCAGGTCTGTGTTCACGCATGTGGCACCGTAATACTGATCCATCACCACTGTATTTCTCTTGCAACTTCACTTAGGGGGTCGCCCTCTCTTCCTCGTGAGGCTGCCTGAAGCAGTTTGACGCAGGAAAGACACATCAGAACACAACTGTGTAACTTGCAGGACGCTGCCAGTTGGATGGGAGTTGGCTGTTTATATGATGCTTTTGGGCAGTAAGAGCAAGAAAACCGTGCTGATCCTTGCTCTTGTCGCAGATCCATGGCTGTGTGTATGCGGTGTCCAACTTTGAGCACAGGATTTGGTCCCACTTTGCACATGGTGGTGTAACAGGGAGATCCTGGCTTGTGAAATACGTTGGGAGGTTTTTGCAATCCAACTCGTACACAGTTGTAGTTATTTGTTTCTGCTTTTTTTTTTAAAATGTGTAGTTTTCTCTCTTGATTTTAGATGGGCGATTTGGGCTCTGGTGCTGGAAAGGGCGGTGGTGGAGGAGGTTCCATCCGAGAAGCTGGTGGTGCTTTTGGCAAAAGGCAGGCAGCACAAGAGGAAAAATATTTCAGGTAACAAATGTCTACCCAATTGTCATGTTCCCCCTCTCCACTACCACCACCACCTCTGATTGTTCTTGTCGCATCTCCAAAATGTTGACAAGTTCTGCTGGGTGGGGAGGGGGGGAAATGAGATAATGTTTAAAATGCTGAACACTTTGGATTTGGTCGGACAAACACTCAGAAACTGATGGGCTTTCCTTTGCACGAGGCGGATCATCACAAATTGAAATTAAAAGTCTAACTTGCGTTATCAGTGCGTTCACTGAGGATGTCTGCCCTGAGATCCACAAGAACATCCTCGGCATCTCCTCGAACGGTGGACTTTTAAAACTCGTGTCATGGGAGTGTGAGGCACTAAACTTCTGTCGACTTTGTTTGATTCTTTCAGGGAGCAGGAAGCTAAGGCGCTTGAGTTTCTGAAACGGCACCATTACGACGAAATAAATATCCAGGAGAAGGAAATCAAACGTTTGCAGAAAGAGATTGACCGTCGCCAAAACATCCTCAAGCAGCTGAAGAACGATGACTAGATTCCTTCCTAGCTTTGCCCAGCATCCTTGTGTTGCCCAGCATATCTCAATCATGCAACTCGAGGACATCACCTTCAGATGCACGTTGATTTCTACAATCAAATTATGCTAAACATGCATCGATTTGTTCAGTCAAATACTGAATGTAGATGCCTAAATATACATCAAATAAAAATACAATGAGTTCATGATCTAAAGGTGAACTTGTCTTATTTCCTCCTTTATCTCAACTTAGTATACAGTGTGTCTGAGGTGAGTTGGTCATTGTGCATCTGTGTGCGTTGGCTGTAGGGAGAATCGCAGCCAAGCCCGAGCTCTTTACCCCCCACCCACCACACACACAAACACACCACACACGTGCGCTTATCCGCAAATACATGATTACTGCAATGGTGAAATGCATTGAGACGTTTTAACACTAAAAGGTGCTACTTGTATGTCAAGTACAATTTTCATTATTGTTTGGCTTGCACTATTGCAGGTTACACAGAACCCGTAGACACAAACTGAGGAATTTTCATAGTCATGTTTTTTTTTGCATGTTATTCATCTTGGACACCCAATCTTAGGAAGGATGTGCCAGCCTTGGGGGGTGTCTAGTACCAGATTAATGTGTGGGCTGAAGGGAGTTCAGCTATGATAGGAGGTTGGGTATACTTGCGTTCTTTGAAGCAGAGGAAGTCAAGGGGTGATTTGATTTAGATGTTTAAAGTATTCAAAGGGATTGACAGCAGGTAGTGGATAAATATTTCCTTTGGTAATGGAATCTGTTACAAGGAGCAGAGTTGTAAAATCCAACCAAGAAGTTCAGAGTTAAGATAAGGAAGCATTTTTTTTGCATAGAGTTGTGGAGATTTTGTTGTTGTTACTGTCTAGTGCCTTGGGACATCCTTCTAGCATGAAAAGTGCTATATCAATATCATTTGTTGTTGATGTGGGCTGTTCTGCCACAGGAACAACAACAAGATTCCACTTATAGAGCGCCTTTCACGTCGGGAGGACGTCCCAAGGCACTGGACAGTTGGGTTGGGACCGGAGCAGTGGGGAAATGGTCAGGGTGAGGGAAGAGAGGGAGCGAGGAGGGGGTAGAGAGTCGAGAGGGGAGGTGAAGGCACGGTCGAAGAGAAAGGTCTTGAGAAAGTAGATGAATAAGAATCAATGGGGATGTTCAAAAGAAAAACAAGACGCAGTACTTGTGTTGCAAAGATATGATAGAGTGTTGCAAAAGACCAGGCCATTGGGATTTTAAAAAATCTGTCAAGGTCTAATAATTCTGACGGAACGGGCTCGGTGGGCTGAATGGCCTCTTCCAGTTCCTATTTTTCTTATGTATTCATGTTGTATCAAAATGGGAGCGATTGGGTGTCCATTTCAACTTCGAAGGCGACAATGTTTCCCCTTTCCATTCAGCAAAACGTTTGAAGCATTTCTCCAATAAAACCCAAACAGATAACAAGAGATAACAAATAACTATTTGGTGTTTTGGGAGATACTGTAATTGTTACATTTCTGTCATTCTGTGATTTATAGTTCAGGATGAGAGTACAGTGTTACAAAGGTATTTGTTAAACAATAATAATAATACACCAGCTTTATTATCGGCTGCAACAGAAAAATGTTGTGCTGTTATTCAGTGATGTTAAAACCCAGATTTATATTAAATTGGATTGGAACATTGCTATAAACAGGATATTTCTTTGCAAACCTCTGCAAACACGACTCTTTCAAATGCAGTTGGGTAGAATGTCCACCTGGGTCTCCCTTTAATTCTATTTATGCAGAATTTTAGATGATCCAGAATTTGGCAATTTTGTTCATTTTGAAAAAAAAAAGCATTCATTTTCTGCAACTTTCCTTTACGTGTGAAGGGCAAGAAAACCGACTTGAAAATTAAGAGTGATTCTCGGGATATAACTGTAAAGTGTTGTACACTTCCACATAATAATAATAATAATAATAATCCTCGCATTTGATATAGCGCTTTTCACGCGGGAGGACATCCCAAAGCGCTTCACAGAACACACTGTAAAGTGAATAGACTGTATATTTGTGGGCCAACGCGGCGGCCGATTGCGCACAGCAATGTCCCCACAAACAGTCGTGGATTGAAAACGACCAATTTATTATTGTTTTGGGTTCTGGAGGGACTATTATGTATTATTATTATGTATGCAGATGACACCCAACTCTATTTTCCCACCTCTCTTTGCGACCCCCAGTCCCCTGATGCTCTGCCTGTCAGATCTCAGGCACTGAATGAGCGCAAACTTCCTTCCGCCGAACGTTGACAAGACGGAAGCCATCCTCTTCGGCTCTCGTCAACGCGTCTAAAACCTCACGTCTCCCACCGACCCGACCTCCCGCTAAAACCCCCCCGAAACCCGTACGCAACCCAGGCGTCCGGTACGACCCCCACGTCCCGGTCCCTCACCGTCACCGCTTTCTTTCGCCTCCGGACCCATCGCCTGTCTCCACCAATGCCTCACTCCAAAAGCCGCTGCAACCCCGGTCCGTGCCTTTGTCGCCTCTCGGCCGGACTGCCCCTCGCCCCCCTCCGCCGCCATCCGCAAAATCCAAATGGTTCAAAGCTCTGCCGCCCGCAATCCCACCCGCGTGAGACCCCCGACCCCCCGCCCCCAGTCCTTGGCCACACGGCGCTGGTTCCAGAGGCGCTGAGTGCAGACGGGTCCCCAATGTCTCGCCTCTTTCGCAAGACGGGAAATAAAACAATCCTAATGGCAAAACAACAATTATAGTACCACGCAGAGATAGATAGATATCGATAGATAGAGACACTGCCTTTTATTTTGCAATTTTTTTTAAAAAAAAAAGGGTATGACCCCGACGTGATTTGAACACGCAGCCTTCTGATCTGGAGTCAGACGCGCTACCGTTGCGCCACGAGGTCTTGCGGACGGAAGGCCGCGGGGAGAGCTTATGAAGGGGTGCACGCATGCGCGGGCTGGCCGGGGAGCCGCCGTCAGTGACTGCGAGGGGAGGGGCGGGAGGGAGGGAGGGGCGGGAAAGCGTGATTTCCCGGATGTGCCGAGCCCTGCTATTTAGGCGGGGAGACCCCGTTCTCTTTCCTTTTCGGTCGTCATGGCGGACGGCTTCAACAAGGTGCAGCTGCGGCTCTGCTCGGCGGCGGCGGCGCCCGCGCCCTCCCTCCCTCCCTCCCTCCCGCGGTGTCCTTTCCCCCGTGCCTTTAAGTCGTGAGCGCGCGCGACAGTCCGGGCCTCCCGTGTGTGTGTGTGCGCAGCGGCCGTCGAACCGCCAGTCGAGGCTGAGGCCTTGCGGGGCCTCGTGGCTCCTGCGCCGCCCGCCCGCCCGCCGTGGCCGGTCAATCGCCCGCCAAGCGCGTGGCCTCCGTCTATCCGAGGAGGAAGGGGGGGGGGGGGGAAGGCGGTTGAGGAGGAGGAGGAGGAGGCCGTTGGTGGGTCCGGAGGCTCGGTGGCCGAGTCCCCCCCCCCCCCGTGGGTTATTACAGCGGCGAGTGGTGGGGGTCGAGGTTAGACCTCGAGTTGCTTTTATAGCGTCTGGTTTTCTCGGTCGGGGCGGGGGCTGGTGCTCTGATCCTGACCCTCCCTCACTCTCTCCCTCACTCTCTCCCTCACCCTCTCCCCCTCACTCTCTCTGCAGGTTCTCCTCCTCGATGGCCGAGGACATCTCCTTGGCCGCCTGGCCGCCATCGTGGCCAAGCAGATCCTGTTAGGTATCCGTTCGCTCATCCTCGCCTTTTTTTTTCTCTCTCTCTCTTCTTCGTCGTCTTCTTCTTCTTCTTCCCCCCCCTCCCCCCCCCCCCCAAAAAAAAAAGAGAGCTGAGCTGCCCTCGGCTCGACTTCAACCGCGTCGGTGGCGGTGATCGGGACCCGTCTCCCCCTTTTTTTTTAATTCGCCTTCGAGAATTTTTCTTTCCTTCCAACGAGGAAGACTCACTCGCACGTCCACTACCCATCTCGAGGCCACACACACACACACACACACTCTGTCTCCTTCTCGCTTGAATGGCTGTGGTCTTTATCTAAAATGTGCATTTGTTGTTGTTTTTTTTTGTTTGTTTGTTTCGTACTCGTTAAACCTGAACAAAAAAAAACCACACACACCACACACCCGCAGGTCACAAAGTGGTGGTGGTGAGATGCGAAGGGATCAATATCTCGGGCAACTTTTACCGCAACAAACGTAAGTGATTGACCCGTCCCTTACCTGTTCTGCACCCCCCCGCACGTACTTAAGGATGTAAGGCAGTATTGAGTGTGATGCACTGGGGTATCATTAGGAGTCCACTGACCCGAACTAAGATTAGATGATGTCTGTGATGAATTTCTGTGATCCGAGATTTCTCAATGAGAATACCTCACATGCACTACCATCTGAGACGTATACGTGTTCAAAAGCTGCACACATGGTTTCCCTATCTATAGTGGATCTTGTGCCTGTGAGCGCTTTGTATTTCAGCGCCTTGGGATGCCCTCCTGACACGAAAGGCGCTCTGTAAATGTAAATTGTGCCTGTGTTGCTTTTCAGTTGAATTCTATGCAATACTGCAAGTGGGAGATGTAGTAATGGGAGTTGAACGCTAATCTGCTGGAAGGTCAAGTCAGCTGTGTGTCTTTCTGTTTTGCAGTTTTGAATTCATGGCAGTTATTTAGTCTTTTATTTTTATAGTTAAATATCTTGCTTTCTTGCGCAAGAGGATGAATACTAACCCTTCTCGTGGCCCATATCACTTCAGAGCACCAAGCCGGATCTTCTGGAGGACTGTAAGAGGTAATTTATTTATTTTCAGAGAGGTGTACTTATCCTAGTTCTTGGGAATGTAAGGAAGTATTGATTGTAATGCACTGGTATCGTTAAGAGTCCACTGACCCGAAATAAGGTTGGATGATGTCTGTGATGAATTTCTGTGATCGAGATTTCTCAATGAGAATACCTCACATGCACTACCATCTGAGACGTACATGTTCAAAACCTGCACAAATGGTTTCCCTATAGTGGATTTTATGTCTATGAGCGCTCTGTATTTCAGCGCCTTGGGTTGTCCTCCTGACGCGGTTCTCTTCCCAAATGAATGTTTTATATCCATTTGCTTTAAATTGCTACTTTCCAATGCAAATTTATTTGGTAAGCAAAATTATAACTGGTCATGTTCACACTGAATTATTGGCATTTAGATACTTGATATCTCATCAGGTACATGAGTGACATGTCCCTAACCTTGCATTTACCTCCCACTAAGCAACTTCAGGATATTTAATATTCCCATTATGCCCATGTCTGAATTAATAATATTGAAATCCCATTATAAGCACTAACAGTCTTGTTTGACACTCAACTGTCCTTTGTCACCCTACATCCATGCCATGTCCTATTCTGCCATCCCCCCCATCTCTGTTACATTGCCTGACTCTGCCACTGCCTCACCCCTCAGGCTGCCGAAACCCTCCTACAAACCTTCATTACACCCAGGCTCGACTATGCTAATGCCCTGCTTGTCGGCCTTCCCAACGGTTCCCCCACAAGCTGCAGATCATCCAGAACTCTGCAGCTTGTGTCCTCTCTGGCACCAGGCTCCGTGACCCCATCGCACCCACCCTCGCCTGACTCCCCATCCCTCAGAGGATTGAGTTCAAAATTATTGTTCTTGCCTTCAAGGCCCTCCATTGCCTTGCCCCTCCTACCTCTCTGACCTGTTAACCCCATATCAACCTGTCCGCTCCCTCCGCTCAGCAAGCTCCGGCCTGCTTCATGTCCCCCAACCCACCATCAGTGGTCAGGCCTTCAGCCTCTCTGCCCCCACCCTCTGGAAGTCCATCCCACATTCCCTCCACCTCACTCCCTCTCTTCAAGGCACACCTCAGACCCCTCCTCTTCAAACGTACCTTTGGCTATCCTCCCCCCCCCCCAGCTCAGATCCTAATCCCTGACTGTTAAGCGCCCTGGGATGTCTCCTGATGTGAAAGGCGCTTTACAAATGTAATTTTATATTATATATCAGGTAATGTAACTACTGTGTTTATGCTGCAATAAAGATTTTTTTCTGATGCTGTTTTTAAGGTATGTTGCCACACAAGACCAAGCGTGGTCAAGCTGCCTTGGACAGACTGAAGGTCTTTGATGGTGTTCCACCTCCATATGACAAGGTATACCATAAACATGATACAGAAGAATGTTGATGTCTTTTGTTCTATCAGTGATGAATTACTTTTACCTACATTGCTTGATCTATATATATGAGAAAAACACATTACTGAGATAGGAAAAAAAATGCTTTTCAACTGGGAAGCTTTCTCCTGTTCAGTTCTTAAATCCATCTTAAATTTTTGTTCCAGAGAAAACGTATGGTTGTTCCAGCTGCCCTGAAGATTGTGCGATTGAAGCCAACTCGCAAGGTAATTCTGAGTACTGTTCTGGGTGGACTTCTTATTTTGGAGGGGAATGTTAACTTCATTTTGTAAGAGGAATTGAAGTGTGAAAGTTCCCTGCTTAGAAGACTGGGAAGGGGAAAGGATTGAATCAGTTTTAACTATCACGTTCGGATCATGATGTTCGCATCAGCATGATCATTGCTGATCTGGGCTGCTGCTCTGGATGATAATTTTGACCTGTCCAGCCATTGACCTGAGTAATTTCTAGTACACTTCCAGGAGTGGGAGTAATGGTGATTCCTGCTTATCCCAAAAGCAGCCATACTTTCTTTCCAGATTGAGTCATTGAACATAAATTAAGTTCACTTTGACCTAATAAATTCATGAACAGAAAAATGAGCAACTCTTTAGCTTCTAACTGCGCTGTTGGAAGCCAATTTGTAACCATATCTGCTTTGTCTTGCAGTTTGCACTTCTTGGTCGTCTAGCCCATGAGGTTGGCTGGAAATACCAGGCCATCACAGCCACTCTTGAGGAAAAGCGTAAAGCAAAAGCCAAGCTTCACTATGTGAAAAAGAAGAAAGTGTTGGTGAGTTGATGATTGGTTGATCTGAACTTCTTATTTGGGGTTTTCTGGTTGCCACTCAGTACTCTCTGGACCTGTTACTATTTGCCAGTATTTCAACTGACAAAAGTGCACAAGAAATTGGGGCTGGCTATTGATTTGTAATAATTTAATATTCTGTTGACGAGCACAATTTTGAAGTTTTGCTCTGAACTTCTAGTACAATGTTTTTTTTTTCAAAATTCCAATCTGTTTAAATTCTGCAAATTCTCTTCACAGAAACTGAAAAAAATTGCTGAGAAGAACGTTGAAAGCAAAATTGCGAAGTACACAGATATACTGAAGCAGTATGGAGTACTTGTTTAATATATTTTCCAAAAAGTGACAATAAATGGCTAGCTAAAACAGGATTTTGATTCTTTTTGCAGTTTGTTTTCTGGTTAGTACTGATTTTAAGCCCAGGGAAGCAAGACACCCGTGCTTCATCTTTCTTCAGTATCTTGAGGTACTGTACATTCAAGGGGTGTGCAATGCTAACTCGGATTGGAGGAGCCAAGATGGAACTCTGAGCAGTTTTGGGGTTCTCAATCAGATCAAGAAATTGCTAGAGGAGCATTGGCAGAATTTATGGATGGGGATTGCTGCCTCCATGATACAAAAAACAGTTGATGGTTACAGCATCAAGTGATGTGTCCTTGCTTGCGTATGATTGACTTTTACAAACCTTCCCCCCCAAATTGGAAGGAACTTTGGATTCTGTCATCAGTAATCAGAAAACCTGATGCTTTTATTGATTCTTAGGTTGTACAGCACTCAACTATCCTCCCTGTAGTCCAGAACAGCTCAGGTCTAGCAGTGTGAGGAATCCATGGGCAAATGATGCCCGTTTACTGATTTAGGCAACCAGTGAGGCTGCGTAATTTCATCTGTAGGTAAAGGATTAAGTGAGGATTTGAGTGAGAAAACTGGAGATTGATATTTTGTTTTATGTGCCATATCCAAAGTAATTTGGGACCCCACTCACCTAATTAATTCTTGGGACAGTACAATTTTATTTTTTAACCACATTTATTTTGTATTACTGTGATTTCTTAACAGCAGACCACATGCCCATAGGTAATACTTTATGAATACAAACTTCACTGTATTCCAAAATAATTACAGGATTCGAATAATTTCTTAAATGAACCAATTAAAAGATTGGTGAGGTGGGATTTTGCCCAATGCTTTTTAAAAAAAAGATTGCATTTATATAGTGCTGTTCACGTCAGGTTTGTACAAGATGTTTCCTGGATGTCATTTTGCTCCTTAGTTTGCTTGCACACTAAGTGTAAATTGGGATCCAGATCAGGTGCAATCTGCTTTAGGTGGATTGTATATACGTGCAAAACACATGGAACTCACCTAAGCCATTTCAGTGTGCAGTTTATGAAGTTAATTTGACCTGTAGATGTGTTACTGTCTCTTTGACTTGCGTGGTTTTCAAGCTGGTGAAATGTCAGGGATGCAATCAAATGGTTTGCACATTTCTTATTTGTACATGTCTGTTGGCAGCACAGCATGTTACTGCAGTGGCTGCCATTCTTGCTCTGGTGTTTCTGGGCTTTGACAGGTGAATTTTAAAGAATGAAAGTAGCAGTTATGTAAATGTTGCACACATTCAATTGCTGTAGTTGCAGTCCTTTTGCTTTCCGTTTGTAACCCAATGGTCTGTAACGTGGCATGCTTGGATTGTTTTAATTTGGAAAACTGTCCGTGATAAAATCCGCAGACAAGGAAAACTTATGCCCAATGCTCCTTCCTGCACAATTCTAATTATAAGTGAAGCTGCCAACCCTCTTAAGTGGTTTGTGCATATGTGTACATAACTACCTGTTATTGTTGATGATTGTCAAAGTATATTTATTCCTTATTAGAATGAAGTATGTCCCTAGTCCCTTCCGCTCCATGACTGGCAGTCGTGTTGGAGAAACTAAAACCAGGGGTCACAACCTTAAGATCAGAGGCAGCCCTTTCGCACTGAGTTGAGGAAGAACTTCTTCACTCAATGGGCGGTGAATGTATGGAACTCACTACCCCAAAGGGCTGTTGACGCTCAGTCCTTGAACATATTCAAGACTGAGATAGATAGATTTCTTATTGCAAAAGGCATTAAGGGATATGGGGATAGGGTAGGGTCAGGTTATTAGGTGGAGTTGAGATTAAAAGATCAACCATGATTGAATGGCGGGGCAGGCTCGAAGGGCTGAATGGCCTATTCCTGCTCCTCTATGTTATGTCAGACATTACCCCCTGAAACTCTTCCATTCCCTCTGCCTTGCCTCCTCCTTCCCCAGCTTCAAATAACACCTGAAGACCTCCGCCTTTGATCACACCTTTGCTCATCTCCCCTGCTTGGTGTCGAGCTGTGCCACTTAAGTGCTCAGACGATACCACGTGTGAAGAGGCTCCACACAAAATACGAGTTGTCACGCTCAAACTTCTGCATCTTCCATCGAAATGAAACGGAGACCTGCGCTCCTATTCCTTGAAAGACGTTGCTAGCACAGAAAGGTTTTCTTTTAAACCACGTATAAACCCGGTCATTCGATTCACGGTCGTTCTTGGGACTTTCTTTTGGTTTTGGTTTTGTTTCTTGGTCTTCCTACGAAATGCAAGTCGCCGAACTGCGCGGCACATGCCGGTGGAGCGCTTTCAGCCATCCTGGAGGTGACGCACCCCGCGTCGAAACAAAGGCCGAGGTTTACAAGGCGGACCCAATGGGCAAAAGGGCACGTCTATAAAAGCGCAAGAGAGAGNAAAAAACCATCCCCATGCGAAAAACGCACTCGGGCCGGTGAAACCATTGGCCGTAATGCCCCGGCCTCGGCGCAGCGAGCCAACCGACCGCCGCTTGCCGGTGTTCTTCTGCGCCGCGCTTCGCTTCTGAGACGGCGCGCGATGAGACAGACGCTCGACGGTAATGGCGGTGGCAGCGCCAATAATCCCCGCATTTTTGACGTGAGCGCGTTTCGCCTCCCCTCGACGGCTGCTGCGGAGTGGGGCCGTACGTCTGTGGGCGGAGCGCGGCGGCCGGCGCTCAAAACTCGAATCGCGAGGATTAATATTACTATTATATTGTGGAGTCCTGTAGCTCAGTGGTTAGAGCACTCGCTTTGCAAGCGAGAGACCTGAGTTCAATCCCAGGCAGAGGGCGAAACCTCGGGCAAGTTTCCTTACTCCACACAGAGCCTAATAATAGTCCCTCCAAACCCAAAACAATAATAAATTGGTCATTTTCAATCCACGACTGTTTGTGGGACATTGCTGTGCGCAATTGGCTGCCGCGTTCGCCCACAAATATACAGTCAATTCACTTTACAGTGTGTTCTGTGAAGCGCTTCGGGACGTCCTCCCGACGTGTAAAGCGCTCTGTCAAATGCAAGGATTATTATTATTATTATTATTAATTAATTACTGTAACAATTAACACCGGTCGGTGGTGGTGGTGGTGGTGAAGGCAACGCCCCGCCCCCCTCCCCATCTGCACTGTCACTCTCCCTGGTTGCCGAGCAACCGCCTTCCCCGCCCTCCCTCCCCCCGCCGGCGTTGCCTAGCAACCGAGCCCGCCCCTCCCGCCCCGCCCCTCCCCGTCGCTCTCGGCAGCGTTGAGGGGCCGGCCCGTGCAAGATGCTCGCGGGAAACCCCGTGCGCGGTGTGCGCGCGAGCGCGCGTGCGCGGATTCGGCGCGAGCGCCCATGCGGGCAGGGAAAGGGGAGGGGAGAGGAGGAGGAGGAGGAAGGGGGGGGGAGGAGAGGCGAGAGAGAGAGAGAGAGAGAGAGGAGGTTGCGCGCCATTTTAGTTGTCAAAGAAGCTGGCGCCGGGACGGTCCTCACGGCGTCGCCCAATTGCGAAACAGCCCTGTGGTGTTTTTTTTTAAAACGCTCGCTACTACTACTACTACTACTATCTCTCTTTCTCCTTCCCTCCCTCCTCTCTTCTTTCCCCCCACCCCCACTCCCTCCCCCCCCACCACACCACACACCTCCCTCCCTCCCTCCTCCCTCCCTCCCTCCATCTCTTCCCAACTCGCGCACGTAACACACACACACACACGCACGCAAACAGTACACATATACACGTACATATATATATATACACACATACATACACACACATAAGGTTGGGGGGGGGTTGTCTTATTTTTTTTAAAAAAAATACTCCACACACGCACACACACACACACATATATATATAAAGAAAAAAAAACACGCACAAAAACTTCTCTCTCTGTCTCTCTCTGTCTCTCTGCTCTCTCTCTCTCTCTCTGTGTGTATATGCCTGGAGACACGGTAAGAAAAAAAACGATACCCCCCCCCCCCCAACCCCTCTTTTTTTTTCCCCCCTCTCCTCCTCCTCCTCCTTTCCCCCCTCTCCCCTTCCCGCCGCCGCCGCCGCGTGTGTTATCCAAAAGAATTAAAAGAGGGAGAGAGAGAGAGAGAAGAGGGGGAAAAAAAAAGGCTCGTGATAATGGCTGAGGCGGCGCGGGCGCCTGGTTCTCCACTAGGCCTCAGTGCATCACTTTGTCCTTTTTTTAAAAAAAATATCTCATCTCTATCGATCTCTATATAAAAAAAATCTTCCTTTTTTTTTCTCTTCTTCGCCGCTCGGAACTCCTGCCTTTGCGCGTCGAGTGTGTGTGTGTATGTGTGTGTTTTTTTTCCGGGGGGGGGGTGTTTGGGGGTTCGTGTTCTCGTTTTTTTTTGCCATTTGCAATTCATTTCCTACGTCTTTTTTCTTTTTCTTTTCTTCCTTTAGGTCCTTTTTTCCTTTTTTTAAAAAAAAAAATCGCGTGGCAAAGGTTTGTTTTGGGGGGGGGGGGGGGGGCGTTAAAAAAAAATGTGCGCGCGTGTGTGTGTGTGTCTGTGTGTATATGGAGATTATAAACATATAAATATTTCCTTCTCGTTCCCTCTCTCTCTCTCTCTCTTAAACCCCTCGCCCCCCTTTTCTCAACCCCCCCCCCACACCCCACCAAACCGACTACCTCGACCCAGATGATATTTGAAGGACATGCCATGCTCTGCACTTCCCAGAGCTTTCTCTCCCCCCCCCCCACTCTCCCTCTCCCCCCCTCTCCCTCTCTCCCCCACTCTCCCCCTCCCCCCCCCCCCCCCCCCTCTCCTATACAATTTCCTCTCTCCTCCATCCTTCTCGGCGCCCCCCACCCCACGCCCCCCCCAGGTTGCGTTTACGTCGGGTAAAAAAAATAACATGTTATTGTGCGGAGGCGCCGTGTCTACGAGCCTCTGAATATTATTATGAGGATGGCGGGGGAGGGTAGAGGTATGGCGCTGTGTAAAATGTATTCCATCACTTGCTTGATCCCTGTGTTGTGTATTTCGAGGAGCGTTGCTTAACGTATAAATGTATAGATGTATAAACCGTCATATCTATATATATATATATATCTGGGGGGGGGGGGGGAGGAGGGAGGGGGCCAGAAACCGCGTTGCTTGTGATACTATACTGGTGGCTGCAGCTTTGTTCTTGACTTGGTTGATGCAGCCTCTGGGGAATCTGTGTGAGAGAGAGATCAGCCAACAAGGTGTTTTTTTTTGGGGGGGGGGGGGTTAAAACTCGTTCAAACGGTGTGTGTGTTTTTTTTGTGTGTTGCCATATGCGTCCGGAGTCCAGAGAGAGAGAGAGAGAGAGAGATGTGTTTTTTTTCTCCCCATTTTATTTTCAGTTTTGGCCTCGTGGCGCCAGGACTCAGACTCGGGGTAGGGGGGGGGGGGTTTGGCTCTCATTGTGAATTTGCCCGCGTTGACTCTTAGCTTTCTGTCGAGGAAGGCAGTAAAATGGCCATGAGTGTGGGGTTGATTTCGGTGATGGTGAGGGGGGGGGGGAACAGTCGATATCATAAGGTATACGTGGTTTACGTTTCAGGAAAATGTACTTAGATTTTTTTTTCACCATCAAAGGGATTGACTTCCAACGCCATGTTAGTTTGGTGTGTGTGTCTGTTAGTTTTGTGCGCCCCTATTCGTCCTCACATTCACAATTCGGTTCTGCACCGTTTTTGGACCCAACAATGTTTTGTTGTCGGCGGTAATGGAGTATTATGTGTGGACTAAATGGAGCGTTGGAAATGTACTCCGCGTGGTTTAAATCTCAGTTGAGGGGTGTACATCATTTCACTGTGTGTCGCTGTAAGGACTATCATCAGAGGCAGCTTCCAATTGCGAAGAAGTGTGATGCTTTCATTCGGTTTTCTGTTTTCCTGTTAATATTTGAATGTGTTAGCCTTCCTGAGCGAATTGTGAAACAAAGTCTTAAAGTCTCAATTGCGTTTGAGTGTGAACTTCGAAGCTGAGTTATGAGTAGTTAGTTACCTGGTGCGGGTTGCAGGGAGCACTGAGAATTTTGGAATAATGTTTTGTAGCCGACACAAGAAGCAAATTACCACATGGTTCTGGGGTACATTATGGATGGAGGTACTTAATATTTAATTGTATTCTAATATTTAATTGTAAGGAATATTGTGAATGTCACTAACTCCAAAAAGCTGTCAGATGTGCTTGTTAATCTAAATACGGTTTTGAGGTTTTAGTGCTTATAACATCCACCTATAATATACTTGACCAGAAAAGTATTTCTCTGCTTTGCTGATCGTTTGCATGGTGATGGTGCACGTAATGGCTTTGTAATTTGTTTCAGGATTTTTGAATGACTGATGTACTGAATTTCTGGGTTATCTTAGTCCAGAGCACAACATTTTTCTTAATCCAATGGATGTTATTTTTAATACATGGATTACCACTGATATGCAGCTGTGTGATGTTTCCAGGTGTTGAATTGCAGTTTGAGTTCCTGTAGATATATTCTTGAAACATTTCACACTATTGAAATTCATTCTTAATTTAGTATATAAATTCTGTAATTTGATGTTTCAGTGCTTGTATATGACTGACTTGTTTTTGGAAATCCATTGGAGGCACAGGTATTCTTTAAAGAATTTGCTGTCTGTTGGCGTGCGCTCATTATTTATAAACGCCAGTATTTTTATTGATAATACGTTCAAGGATTTCATCTTTTGCTTGAGCTAAATAATATACAATTACTTCGTTTTTTTGTAATAGTATAGACTATAGACCTGCGTTCGGTGCTTATATAACATCAATCACGTGCATGAAATGTGTATCGTGACACTATTGGTGCTGTTTATGCAATATAATATCTGATTTTCCTCTTGAAGGCAATTGCTCCTGTATTGCGGGCAAATGTTGATGGGCTTTTCCTCTTATTGCAACAAAGTTTGGGCAGAGCTTTCTAATGTGAAACCTCAGTACCAGTGGTACCGTGAGCATCTAATTGATGTTGACTGTTTTTTGCCTTTTTAAATGTGTATCAGTGAATATATTGTAACAGTATTGTACAGATATTGAAGTGAGATTTTCAAACTATGTATCTCTGTTGGACTGTGTGTGGAACATGAATATGATGGTCTTAAGTGGTTTAATGTTGATAAGATTCCTTTTTCAAAAGTTATATTTAATCTTGATATAGGGGAGCGCACATGATTCAGTCATTTGTACCTATCTAGAAAAGGGGTTTGAGTTGTTAGTGAGTTGTGATGTAACATATTGGCCAGAGAATTTCAGAACTGCAAAGTTACTTCTATAGAACTAGCAGGTCATAGATTTTGTTTTCTGTATCTGAAATGTTTGGGCAGCTCCTAGGGTTGCAGTTGTTCGGAAGGTTTCTTTGCAGTATTGAAGCATTCAATCAAAATTATGTTTGTACTCTGTGCTCCATTTACCGAGGTGTTTTTTCATCATAAGAATAAGCTGAATGAATTAGCATTGGTTAAGTTGAATTAGTGTTTAGTACCAGTATATAACTAACTTTTAAACAAAAGACAAAATACTGCAGATGCTGGAAATCTGAAATAAAAACAGAAATTGCTGGGAACAGGCAGCATCAATGCAGAGAGGAAAAAGTGTTTTCAGTGGAGAGAGGAAAATGAGTTAAGGCTTCAGGTCGATAACCTTTCATCAGAACTGGGGGATGTTGGAAGGGAGCAAATTATAAGGACACAAGCAGAGAAAGGGGTGGGGAAAGAAAGACGAAGGAAAAATTTAGGTGGAGGGCAGAAGATAACGAGATCAGAAGTGTTGATGGTGCAAGACAAAAGAAGGCAATTTTTATTTTATTTTTGTTGTGTAATTTGTTCTTATCAATGTGAGATACCACAAGGATGGTAACCATGTTTTTTTTTGACTAGACTTGTAAACAACCAGAAGGCAAGTAGGTTTGAATTATAATATTATGGAGGCATTTACTTGAAGAAATCTGTTTGAGTTCATTAAGTTGTCTACAAAGGGTGTAAAATAATTGCTTTGAATCAATCTCTGCTAACAAAAGTGAGTTTTACTCTGTACCAAGTACCAGCATCTTGCACCACCAGGTCAGGTATATTGTAGGTCAGCTCCCTCCACGTTACCATATTGTTTTAATTTCCAAGCTCAGAAAATATCCCTATTACACCAGCGTGACATTTCCATTTCCCACATTAGCCATCTTTGTTTCAGAGTGAGTTTGCCCAATTAGTACTGAATAATGGGCAGTTTTTGTGTTGTGGACTTAAAATTCCACTGGGATATATACCCAAACTCATTTCACTTAGGGCCGTTAAACATCATAGGAAAGAAGAGACTTTCATCTCATTTGTCTGGGCTGGATTTAAACTCAGGTCGCAGAGGTGAGGAGACAGTGTTCTAATCCACTGCATCACCTAGTCCCTGTGTTTAACTAGCATTTTGAAATAAAGCCTTGTGACAATTTGATATGCAGAGGGAAAAAATTGTCTTAAATAGTATTATTTTTTTCATTCCAGCTGTAATTAGAAATGGCTACTGAGGTCAATGGAAATGCAGCACAGGTGAAGGAGGAGGAAGAACCCATGGATACCTCATCTGCTGTCTCCCATTCAGAACACTACCAGGTGCTATTAGATGCTGGCTTGCCACAGAAAGTAGCAGAAAGGCTAGATCAAATCTTTCAAACAGGTATAATATGCCCTGACCTGTGGTTTTGGTGGTCCAAACTATTGATATAAATGGAATATAATATGCTGTATAACTGGCAAACTCCTGACTGTTTCTTTGAGGAAGATGGATTTGTATTTGCTGCATCTGTGTATTGCCTTATTTCTGCCAGCATTTTTGTAGTGGCATTGGTAGTGCTTTTTTGTTTACATCAGTCATTTGTGTTCAAAAGTAAGGCAGTAGAATCACGAGTGAGCAGGGTACTCATAGAGAAGTTTGTAGTTTTAAATACCACCAGCTTAATAGGCTCAAAAAAACTAATGTGTGCTGGAACTTTTTCGCAGACCTTTGTTGGAAGTTGTTTGCAAAACAAATGGGATTTTCTTAGCAGTTAGTTGTGCAGAATGTTAGTATATGCTTGCGGGTGCACAGTTTAGTGAGAGTATGTTTGTGTTGGAATGCACTCACTGGTTTATTGCACCAGTCATGCTTCCACAGGCACTGGTCCATTGCTAAATATGATGGTCTTGATTTAGTGATTCTTTTTCTAATTATGAACCCTAGGAATGATACTACTAACAATTATTCTATTTAGGTGAAATTCCTTTTCCAATAAAGTTGAAAGTTACAGAATCCTTTCAGAAGTAGTTTTAAGTTTTAAAATTATGAGATTACATCACATATTCAGAGATAATAACTGACTGCTGTAGGTATTATCCTAATTGCAGCACACACATTTGTCTTCTGCACCCGCACATTCTCTTTCTCTCTCCCCGTCCCCCCAGTAAATGCTGACACATCGGTTAAATCCTAAATCCCCATTCGGTTGTCATTTGGTACTAAGTATGTGATGCAACATTTCAAAGTGCATTATGTGACAACAAATGAATGTATTACTAATTTGTATTATGAAAAATACTTGGTTGAGGTAGGTGGAGACTGAATAAAGAAGGCAAATCCATTTCTAGCTCCCGAATTAATTATGCACAATATATTTAAATAATAAAAGGCAGTCCATATAAAGCACTCTTTGTGAGCATATGTGGCAAATCGTCTGGAGTTTGTGCATAACTGCTGAGTATTATACTTGAATAGATTTGGTTCTGATTTGATTATGTAGGTGCTACAGGTTACTGGCGCTGTCTTTGTTTTTTGAAAGCAATCTAATGCCTAAAGTGGGCATAAAAGAAATCTTCCCTCATCTGTAACCTCTTAAATTATGACCAGAACTAATCAGAAGATGAGGGGTAGTTAAAATATCTTTGAATTTTTTTGCATGGCACAGAAGACGAGAATAAAATAGAAGCCCTAATTAGACTCATTATATGCATGCACCTTCTATATCAATAAAATGTTTGGTTTTCAGGGAACACTTTAATGCAGGGTCTGAATTCTGATTATATTGTCATGGAATCTATGCATCTAAATGTGCAAATGAATTGTAACGGGTAACACGTAAAATTTTCTTTTTTGTGTTATTAGCTAGACATTCTATTTAAATGCTACACTCTGTTTGCAGGGTTAGTGGCTTATGCTGATCTTGACGAAAGAGCCATTGACGCCCTTAGAGAGTTCAATGAGGACGGAGCACTGTCCGTATTGCAACAGTTTAAGGAAAGTGACCTATCGCACGTGCAGGTAAGGTGAACTGTAAGTTTTGCTCTATTTGTTGTATGATAATTTGTTCTAAAAGTGGAGGATTGAGAAATGGCAACTTTCTTTGATTTGACAATACTGTAGATAAATGAAGGACAAGAAAGAATCAACGGGTAATATTTGAAATTAAAATATTAAACTAGGACATGAACAAAATAGCGGTTGGTTAGTGACAGGATGATGAGATATCTGCAAAAACTGAAAATAAATTTGAAATGAGGACCAGTGCATTAGTTAAATGTGATAATTTAACAAAACCCTTGTTAATTCCAAAAAATCAGCCAATATTTAATGGTTTGCCTAGATATACTACTGTCTTAATTGATAACCATCCTTTCTTTTAGAATAAAAGTGCCTTTCTGTGTGGAGTAATGAAGACCTACAGGCAACGGGAGAAGCAAGGTAGCAAAGTGCAGGATGCTACAAAGGGACCAGATGAGGCAAAAATTAAGGTAAAGGTATTTGGCAATTGAAAAATGATCTAGGGGAAATTGTCAATCTGTTGCTACATCCTATTTATTGCACAAAGCATTACTTTACTACAATTGGCATTCACCACCATTACATACCTATTTTCCCAATACTATGCTTTTGTTCCCAATGAAGATGGTAAACTTATTTCAAATTAATTTATTGTATTTTAGTTTGGACTGTTCTAAGTGCTTTATTAACCGCCCTAACTTTTCACAACCTTTTACCTCTCTAAAACTCTTGTCTATAACTTTTAAAACGTTATTGTTCAAGATTAAAGTTAGAAATTATGGTAAAGCTCTATTACATTTAGCACCAATTTACATTTAGACAGCAACTTTCATATCGGGAGGTTGTCTCAAAGCACTTCGCAAAGCCTGTATATATTAGAATTAGTTTAACTTTCTGGGTTTTCAATATTTTTTTCTTGTATTGGTACTGATGTTCAGATGGGATCATTGTCTCTGCTTTTTCCTAATTTCAAAATGTATTTATTATCCCAGTGTGGAACAGTGGAATTTTATGGTAGAATAGTCTCACTTGCTACACTTGAATAATTTATGTCAATGATGTGTGGGTGCAGCCCACAATTTTTTTATTAAATGTACACATGGTGCTGCTGCCATGATCAGCTCTCATTTTTTCTACTGAAAGTGTGTGATTGTTGACTAAAACTTATTTCTCCGATAGGATCTGAGACAAATTTGAATCTTAAATGTTTTCTGCACAGTGACTCAGAAAAGGAATAGCAAAATATTTAGCATATTTATTTTGACTATCATAAATCTGTTGGGATATAGTAGGTAACAAATTTGGATTAATCCAGCCATTCCACTTCCAGTAGTTATTTGTTTTTCGTTGGAAAAAATGCTAACCTACTCAACTGATTTAATTAAAACGACGGCATCTCTTGCTTCAGTGGGAGACATTAATTTCACCTTCATCTACTTGACCATTTCACATTGCAAAAAAGTAACGGCTGCTATTCACTTTGGATTATGTCGCATGTAATTGTGCAGAATTCACATGAATTATTAACATTATTTCAGGCACTGCTGGAGCGAACTGGCTACACTCTGGATGTAACTACAGGTCAAAGGAAATATGGGGGCCCTCCTCCAGAAAGTGTGCATTCAGGTCCACAACCTGGAATTGGAACGGAGGTAAGTCATTTGCTTTGATGCAATGTCAGTACATTAAATGATTGAATTTTTCAGTGATGCTCAGGATGTATAGAAACTTGGGAGAACAAATCTGTATGCATGACCGCTCACATGTAGAGGGCACCAAACAGCAGTTGCTCTGCTACGGAAGGAAAGAGGGATGTTTATGGCTGACGATGGTGACTTAACTTTGCTGTCCTACTCAGGTATTTGTTGGGAAAATACCAAGGGACTTGTACGAGGATGAGCTTGTTCCATTGTTTGAAAAGGCTGGTTATATCTGGGACCTGCGACTGATGATGGACCCACTGTCTGGTCAGAATCGTGGCTATGCTTTTGTGACTTTCTGCACCAAGGAGGCAGCACAGGAAGCTGTCAAACTGGTAAGAAGCTTTTTGGTTTTAATTTTCCAAAGACAATACTAAAAACAGCTCAAAAGCCTTAAAAAAAATTTGAACTGTTTTCATTATCGTAGCCTTTCATGTGCATTGCAGTTTTATTTAACCCTTCCTAACCAAAGTGGTACAAGAAAGGTTGCAAGTTCCCATTGAAAATGATTCCTGAAATATCTGGGTTGGGAAGGGTTAACCTACAAACATCACACAAATATCCCATTGAATTTATACATCTCTTGATTTTCTTTCATAGTGCGATAACTTTGAAATCCGGCCTGGTAAACACATTGGAGTTTGCATTTCTGTGGCCAACAACAGGCTGTTTGTTGGTTCTATTCCAAAGAACAAGACCAAGGAAAACATCATGGAAGAATTTGGCAAAGTCACAGGTTAGGATAAAAAACATCTGGGTGATTTATTTAACACAGCCGAAACCCATTTGTATCTTCAAAAATATTTTGAATTTGTTTCAAATCTGTAGGGTTTATTTTTGAAATGGATGTTCATCAAATGGTTGGGTAGAACATGTGTGATACTCTGTTAAAAACGAAAATTGATTTAAAAATAATTAAAAGGCACACGAGACATTCCTGTGTAATCTTCAGTTTTGTTCATTTTTCCAGTCCACTACCATTCTCACCATATTACTCTTAGCTCATGTAGAGCAAGTCTTCTCTGTATTCTATTTTGAAGTTAACTGCTATGAACATGTTCTTCACAAATCATGGAAGATTAAAAATGTGTTACTTTTGTTCTGATGTTTTTAAACTAAGTTATGAATGTTGTATCTTCTGTAATAATATTTTACCACAAACTTTTGGTGTCGTACAAATCTCATAGTGTTCATATTATTTAAAAAATGTTCTTTAACCTGTATGTTAAATTTACAGAATGAGTAACGCTATGAATTTCCATATTATTCCGGACAAATGATTCTTTCTACGAAATTGCCAAATTTCAGTGCAGCATAAACTGGTAATTTATTTGGTGAGATAGAGAAATTGAAATTTAAAAAAAATCTCAAAACACATACAAGGCCATTCAGAAAATATATAAACTTTCACTCAGGCAAAAAACTCTTGCCTCAATTTTTTTGTCCCAGTACACAATAAAATAGTTGCCATATAACCTTCAATATTTTCAAAACTATGCTCATCTCCTTGTTTTTAAATGAATCATTTTTTTTTAGCATTTCAAGCGCTTAAGATCATGCATCTGATCAACAAGAAATTCAGTTCTGCCAGTATGTCCTTATAGCTTGACCGTTTGAGTCTATAGTCAGTTATCTTAGCCACTGCTGGACCTGAGGTCAAAGTGGTCCTTCTGTCGGGGCAGTCACCGTCTGTGGACAGAAGCTACATTAAAATTGCAGGATAAGGCCAGAATACAGCATTGACTGGCGGTTAAATGCATCAATTGATTGAGAAAGATCCTACATCCTTTAGGCTGTAGAACATCTGACCTGCTGTTAAGTGCTGACTGACTTATTTGTAGCAATGCAAGATGCAGTTGGACAGTTTTTATCCTTTAGAGTTGAAATCCTGTGTTTGTAGCCTTCTATCATCTTATTAATTGCTATGAGAGGCTCTATGCCCTTTTCCTCCTTGGCATTTAACATTAGCAACCCAAATCAGTCTACAGCAACCTATTATCCTAGCAAGAGATGATCAGGTTATGATAATGAAATCTCATTTATTGCATATGAAACCTTGAAGTTTCCTTGGTGTGTATCTTTCTATGCAATAAAGCTTTCTGCTCAGTTTGAGCTTGTGGCATGCTGGGATGTTTTAAGCAAATACAAAGAGTTTCTGTATTGTGGGAGGATTCTAGCCAATCTTTCTTTGGTTATCACGTATCTGTTCCTATATCAGAATCACTTTTTTTTCTTACAGAGGGTCTCACTGATGTTATACTTTATCATCAGCCTGATGATAAGAAGAAAAACAGGGGCTTCTGTTTCCTCGAATTTGAGGATCATAAATCTGCTGCACAGGCCAGGCGAAGGTTAATGAGTGGCAAAGTTAAAGTGTGGGGAAACGTAGTCACTGTTGAATGGGCAGACCCTGTTGAGGAACCAGATCCAGAAGTGATGGCAAAGGTAATGTATCCAGAACCAAAGAAAGGTTCGTCAATAGCGAGACAGTGGCTCAAATGTAAGTGAGATGAAGAAAATGATACACAATAATAATTTACAGTCCACTTCACCTTTATCTGTCACTTTGTGGTGCAGTTTAGCATGCAGTTTAACTGGGACAAAATCCATAAGGCTCAAAGACCCTGTGAGGGAATGTGAAATGAATATGCATTGTACATTGAAATTTCACTCCCATCCACCAGAGATTTACCATTTGTTAATGAAAACTCTTGTGTCAGTCTGGTTGGCATCTCAATTAGTAGCATTGGTTCATTTTTTTTTGTCTGCAGGTCAAAGTGCTGTTTGTGAGAAACCTGGCCAGCTCTGTCACTGAAGAAATCCTTGAGAAAACATTTAGTCAGTTTGGAAAGCTGGAACGAGTGAAAAAGTTGAAGGATTATGCTTTTGTTCATTTTGAAGATCGAGATGCAGCAGTAAAGGTTTGTATAAGATCGTTATACAGCATAGTTTGTTGCAAGTACTAGTGTTATTTCTGTTAAACTTTCTTCAATGACTTGCATTTGATGGGTAAGATGGAAGTTGTTGCTCCTTATTAATTAAATAAAAGTGTGGATTCATGGAAGATGTAGTGCAGCCCATCCAATTTTTAATAGCTCTGTTTAATGGATATGTAAAATAAATTAAGGGGCGATTACCAAATTAAGAGGTGAACATGCATACTTTCCTCGTCTTCATTTTTGCGTGTCCTGAAATGAAATGATATAACTGGATACACTTGCATTGGTCAAAACTGGAACTTCCACTGCTTAACTTTGGGTTCAAACTGGGGAGTGAGTTTATCAACTGAAGTCTTTGGAAGAGTTCTCGACTATTTTAATTTTTTTTCATATTTGTACTCTTTATGCAGTAGATTTAAAGTGACAATTTATTTTCAGTTGGTGTTTGTACCCTTTGTGTTGATCAAAGTTTTTTTTTTCTTGTGGCAGGCAATGGATGAAATGAATGGAAAACCAGTGGAAGGAGAGGCGATCGAAATAGTTCTTGCGAAACCACCAGACAAGAAAAAGAAAGAGCGTCAGGCTCAAAGGCAGGCCTCAAGAACCCAGGTGTAAGTTAATTCATAATCGGGGACTGAAGCAATTAATGCATAGCTCTGTTGTTTTCCGCAAACCGAACTAATAAAGCTTGTTTCATTCACAGGTATGAAGATTATTATTACTACCCTCCGCCCCGTATGCCACCTCCAATAAGAGGTAGAGTCCGTGGAGGTAGAGGTAGTTATGGCTATCCCCCAGATTATTATGGCTATGAAGATTACTATGATGATTACTATGGTTACGATTATCATGATTATCGCGGGGGTTACGAAGATCCATACTACGGTTATGATGATGGCTACCCAGTCCAGCGAGGAAGAGGTGGACGGGGTGGTAGAAGTGCACTCCCCCCTCCGAGAGGCCGTGGTGTGCCCCCACCCCGAGGAAGGGCAGGATATCCTCAACGTGGAACACCAGTAGGACCTCCGAGAGGTACTAGGGGTAGCAGAGGAGGAGGAGGCCCACAGCCACCGCAGAGAGGACGTGGGGCCCGCGGCGGGAGGGGCAACCGTGGTGGCAACGTAGGAGGAAAGAGAAAAGCAGACGGATACAACCAGCCAGATTCCAAGAGGCGTCAGACCAACAACCAACAGAATTGGGGCTCCCAACCCATCGCCCAACAGCCTCTCCAGCAAGGTGGTGATTATTCTGGTAACTATGGTTACAATAATGACAACCAGGAGTTTTATCAGGATACTTATGGGCAGCAATGGAAGTAAGCAAATGGGGGTTTCAGTGAGTTTGTTGAGACCCGCTGGGCTAAACTCTGCATCCTTCAAATCTTGATTGGCTTAACTCTACATCCTTCAGTACAGATTGGCTGCCACATGCATTTTGCTGATATCAAGAATCACTATTGTATATACCAGATTTTTTTCATAATTGCACTTGGACATTTCTGGCTTACATTTTCCCTTAATAATTCTTTGGGGGAAAAGGTGCTTTTATTTGTTTTAAGCGACTTTTTAGCAGTTTGAAAGGAAACTTTGGACTTTGCTTTCAGATGTTGGGCACAATTTCAATCATGGTTTTGCAGAATTGACTGGTATTTGGACAGTTTCACTGGTTTGTGGCTTTGGGATTAGACTGCCATTGGAGTATGCTGTATATACAGTAAACGCTAGTGTTTTTGTCTTAGTATTTTTAAGATAAGCTTGTAGTTTAAAACATTTTTTAAGTTTTCTTGTATTGAAAGTAACATTTAACTGTGTGTTTTGCATTTGTAGAGTAGGTAAATTGTGTTTTTAAGAAAAAATGTTAGTAGCTTCACACCTTAAGAATCTGCCCTACAAAAATTTGGTTTGGCTTAATCGTACAATCCGTGGCGTTTTGTTCATTGATGTGATTGTATTTACAATTTATTGTTCATGTCAAATTTCAATAAAACTTAAAACTATATTATCCAAAAATTCATGATTCAAATTCAATTGTGTTCTGCAAATTTGATAAACCGTGATTACTTTCAAACCAACAGCTTTCCCCCAAAAAACTGCTTATGTGAGTGATCAAATCAATAGTTTGACTTAATTACAGCTAGTCTGGTATGAAGGGGACAGGTGAAGGAAGAATAGGTTTTGTAGCCATTGAATACTTTTCACCTTGATGTCAGATTTGCAGTAGTCGTGCCTGTTTAATATAACACAATGCTGTTTTAAGCCTTAGTTACTCTTCGTAGGGTTTCTCACAGTTGTAATTCTGTTGAACATAATGTCTTCTTAGAATGCAGTAGATGGTATGTTCAGAAGCTTAATGGGTCTTAATGGTCTTATAGAGGGAGAATCTCTACTATCCCTTTATTTTAAAAATGATTTTTTTTGTGACTAACATCCTTTTTTCTTTTGCTTTAAAAAGAATCTTCAATCGTGTGAATTGATATCCTCATTGGGGAATTGGCTCGGACTTGCATGAAGTTGAAGTACTAATTCAAGCAGTTAAGATTTTATTCTGAAGACCAGTTCTGGCTATTTTAACTCACGTACACCGTCCAGCTCCAAAATGGCTCTCTATTTCCACCAACGCCCCCCTCCATGTTATCAGCAATTAATATTCCAAAGTAGGTAGGAAAGGAACGCTAAAACATTTTTTTAGAATAGATTGTTCTTTTGGATAGGGTAGTGTTGGGGACTCCCTCTTTAAATGAAATGAGTTCAGATAGTCCTATACCAGCTTCCAGTGAACAAGTCCACAACAAAAAATTGTCCTCAAATTTAGCACTTGGGTTTGAAATCGTGAGGGAAGTGTGAACAGTTTGTTGCCTTCTACTAAAATAGAGTTGACAAACCTGGGAGAATCTCTGCATTGTATCTGACCTCAAGCATCCCTGAGTTAAACACACTTTCATCAGTCGTGGCAGAGTTTATCCCACTGCCTCGTGATGCTTATTTTGCAATAATGGGGTGGAAGGGGAGCTGTTCAGCATGTGTGAGTGTGTGGTGGGAGGGGGAGAGTGACTCATCACAATGTGAAATTATATATTAGGGGAAGGGTGAAGCACTTTGAGATGTTTCAACAAAATATAAGGTGTTATATCAAATGTGTTTTTGTTGCTCTGATTATTATTATGCTAATGAGAGCTTTAAGTGTTAGCCTCGTCTTAGACATGTGCCCATTGTTAAACTTTACTGCTTCTACAGCTGTAACATTTAACTCTTTCAGGAATTTATAGCTGCTTGAAATTCAGTTCAATCTAGGCATTAGGGCTGGTGCTCCGAATTATACCGTGCAAATTACATACTTTATGTAATTATACATGTGGCTCATTGGCCGATTTATTGCCCTGTCGGCCAGAAGGAACGTGTGGTATTTTAGCACATGCAGTTTGTTTTAGGGCACATTTAGCCTTCACCCTCCAGTTTTTACTATTTTTAACAGTATTAGACTTAACAACACAAGCTATTCCTTAGGTATTTTTAACTGATCAATTTTTCATCAGACTTGTGGCTCGCAAAGCTAACTACTTCTGGGGAAAAAAACCTCCCCATTATAAAGATTTGCAATAAGGTTACGCAAGCTGGCCATGGCAGAAACTATTCTAAGTACTTGCCATAGAATAGACTATTGTCACCAGTTTCTCTTGCCACCCCCACACAAAAACATCTCCATTGTTAGCTTTTAATTGAGAAATCTAGTGCAGTGCTGTTTAGCTTTCTGAAATTGTATGTATTCAAGGTAGAATATTTGACTTAATTAGTTTCCAATCTTCAAGAGTTCTGACTTGAATCTGAAGCACACATTCACACAAGTTGTTGAGTGAGTCTTATGAGGCAATAATTGAATGTTCGGGACCCAATGATCTCATCGAGAGCACACAAGTTATTTGCATTGTTGCCGGAAAACCTTATGATTTGTGTATCATGCTTGAATTTGCTCTAAGCCCTTATAATAATTACTTCAAAAAATAATAAATTTGTCACTCAATCCACGACCGATGGTGGGACTGCTGTGCCCAAAATATACAGTCAATTCACTTTATAGTATATTCTATGAAGCGCTTTGAGATGTCTCAAAGACGTGATAAGGCGCTTTATCAATTGCATAAATTATTATAATGATGAATTGTTTTTACAGGTTAAAAAATCCTAATTGACCTAATAATTTGTTACACACATTTAGTGTTGTCGCTGTTTTAGTTTTCTGAATACAAAACAGTTTTTTTTTTGGAGTGATGCTTTTTGGAAAAAAATGATCCCGATAAAATGGTAACTAGACAGGGTCGTACTATGGAATTGCAGTGTGAATGAGGTTCTTCAAACTTCTTGGTGTTTCTCTTTAACCGCCCTCCTCACCACTGTCAAAGCTACTGTTGGGCAAGACATTAAATTAGTCTAATTCCATGCTAGAAGGTGGGGGACAATGAAAGGGTCAGGTATCCTGGACTATAGAGAGTGCCTGACTTCAGAATGACATTCATACACTGAAGTGAACTTTGTCTGCACTGTCAAATCAGGATTAGTGTGTGGGCCTTGGCAATATGCAAATCTGGAAAATAGAGGTTATCGTGATAATCTTTACTCTAGTCTTAGCGTAGATGTTTTGTATGGTTCTAGTGTTATCCATTTAAGAGATTTAGACTTTAGAATTACAAAAAAAGTTAACCCTCTACTAAATGCTAAGGTCTCTTATTTAGAGCCCCCGTGTGATAATGAGTCACACTGGTCAAGAAGGTCCAGAGTTCATCCCAGCCTGTGGTGAATTAGTCACTTTCACCAGAAGGCTCTAAATTAGAAATTGGCATCAGCCTCCCTGAACTAGGTCAGAGAGAGAGTCTGATCCAGTTTCTTGTAGGAAATTGCTACTAGTGACTCCTACAAAGAGCATTTGAAGTTGGTCTTGGCAGTGATCTTTCCCATGATCAGGTAGCCCGATGCCGCTTGTGTGGTAAGTACCAGTGAACAGGTCAAATCTCTTGAGTTGCTGACTGGCCTTCAGCACTCGTAACTGATCTCAAATCCTCGGCATACTCGTTGCCCTCAGATTTACATGAGACTATTGCTGCTTGTATCTGTTTCAGTCTTTGCATATTTTGAATGCAGAATATAGATCACTATAAATAAACCTGTGGTCAGTTGGTACAGCTCTATGTGATATGCTGGAGTGCAGCTGCGTATGTTAGCCTGTTTATTCGTATTATCGTATGTTTAAACAGCTCAAGTTGTAAAGCTGCTACCCCATGCAACTGATAAATATATTGAGGTTTAATGGCCTGCTCAAATATATGGGATTTGCTTTTGACATCTTTAACCTTTCAACCACACACTTAATATTTTGAAACATTTCAATATACGTCCAATTTGAGAATATTAAAAAGTAGACATTCCAATCCAATCTTGCATGCATTGACATGCCTGGACAGTTGTCACCCCATCTTGGACTGTTTAATCTGTCACTGTTCAGCAAGTCCCTTTTCTTCCTCACTTACGCATTTTGATAAAGCTGAGCCAGTCATCTTAATCGTGCGTAATACTCCAGGGCTGAGATTAGCAATGGCTAACTTGAGCAAAGAGAGTTCACAACTAGCTTATCTTTCCGATTCCTCAAAAGCAAAGTTGTCGATTTAGTTTTTAGCACTTTAGCCACTAAAACATACTGTTGTGGAGTCCACATAGAATTATTTGGAAGAGATTGATCTCATCAAGTTGCAAGAAAATGTCTGACCCTATAGGCCGATCAAGGTGGGCGTTTCCTTCTGTTTGAACTATCTGAGCTCTCGTTGTAAGGTATAAATAAATATCCCTTGTATTTGATATAACACCTTCTCGTATTGAAACTTCTCAAAATGCTTTATTGAGTTAATTTCTGTGAAGTGTAAGGACAGTGTGTAGGCAAGCGCAGTTGACAATTTGCCCAAACAGCCGTGAAGTGAACCACCAAGAAAAACTCCTTTCTTTTCCAATAGAGCCACACGGGATCTTTATTGTTCATCTGGCAGATGGAATCTCGATTTACCAATGAGGCTGCTATTATAAAGATTTAGGTTCTCCTATTTGGGAAAAGCTGTGATGCAGTCTGGAACAGGAATATTAGGTTATTAATCCTTGGGATTTACAAAGGAGAATGGAGTGGGAAGTGGACTATTCATCTTCCTTGTTCTCAAAGGGTGGAATTTGATTGACATCTTGATGCTGGTTCACACTCACATGGGTGACCACCAGGAGTATACTGAAGTACAGTCTTATGAGAAATAATCTGTTATATTTTATGTCTTAATTGTAGCCCTATCTATTTAAGCTGTGAACTTGAACTATAGGGAACTCCAAATGGAAATAAATGGAGATGCATTTCCAGCCAATTTAAGTAATAGTTGTAATGCACTAGTCATTGATAGATGAGAACTGACATCGTATAGGAAGGCAACGTAGTTTATTAACGTTTACAACTGAGTATTGCTTCCACTACTCGGGTTTATTTTAGTGTCGGAAAGAGTTGACTGACAACTCTTTTCCGTCCTTAACCGAACAACGTATAGGAAGTTGCCAGGTTTCTCCCAATAAAAGTTTCTAAAGCCTGGCCTTCCGATGGGCTGCTAGTCTGTTGTAGATGGTACAAAGGGGGAATGCAACCACAGAGCATCTCATTTGTTCTCAAGGCAGCCTGAGGTATAGGTATGTTTTACCCCATTGACACTAAAATGCTGAAAATGGTCCTGGATGCCAAATGTACAGTTTAACTATGATGATGTTACAGAAATATATAATTGTACAAACTATTGTACTATTGGCTTTCTGATCTAATGGCGAAATTATTTAATTGCATTAGTTATCTTGAGTGGTTTAAGTTTTGTGAACTTTTTTTCTGTCAGTTTCTACTTTGTAAACCGTTACCGCTACATTGAGCATAAAGCAGAGTAGAATAAAGCAGAGCAAACTAGTGTTTGCCTTAAACACCAGCTGTGTCCATTCTGTCACTGAGTTACTTCTACCTTTCCAAATATATGAAACATTTAGACTACCTCGTTTGATCACTCATTTACAGCAGTTTTAATTTTTTTTCTCTAGCTTGTTGGTAATGGAATGTAGGCTGTTTCCGAATTGACTAATGAATCTTTACAATATATGCATCTTAGAAGAATCCAATTGGTTTCATGAGATATGCCAGTGCAAAAATAACATTGGTTGAATGAATGTGTTAAGACTTTTTAACCTTTTGACCTTATGAAACTCTTAATTTTATCAAATACCATTGAATGTTGATCAACTAAATATGTGCTTTGGAAAGTAACTGTATGTCTCTTGCTTAAATGGTGCTCCTAGTTAGTGCTATTTCTGAACCTGCCAGTCACCAGTGCTGTACTACTGAAAAATTTCCTGGCAATTTTAAATTACCAAATAGGGATGTTGACTTTTTTTTTCTAAGAACAACTAACACAAATCTAAGCTTCTTGCAGGTACTGTTGGTACGATCTATTCTATATCTTTTCATTCCCCAGTAAAGGTCCAGCTTACATTCAAACCGATGTGAACATGGAACCAAAAACCTTTTGTGCTGGTGATATTTGGCAAATTGGTCATTTTGCTGCCGCTTCTTCAAAATTTGTCTATCTGAGACGAGAGCTGACTGCTGATCATCGGTTGTGGAAAAAAAAGATTCCTCATTATATACAACCTTTTGGGTGTGCAGAACCAACAATGCTCATTCCGTGAGAAATTGTACTACATATAAAGATTTAACATCATGTTTGTCGCATCCCTATTTACAAGGTTTGTTAGTACAGTCATTTCTGTACTTCATTCATCAAGTTGAAAAAAATTGAAGATTTGTTTTGCATTCTCCTAATGGCGTTTCTGTCACATTTTGGTTGGATATTTTAAAAAAAATACTACCAAGTTACAAGATGGTAAATCTGAATTGAACATTCTCTCCTCTTACACATTCCTCCCCCACCAAAAACTAATTGCTCGTTTGCAACAAAAAAAAACATAACAGCTGAAGAGCCATCTACTTCAAACCACAAGTACAGCATGTGGCACAGATGTGCGGTGTGACCTGTTCAGTGTGACACTTACTACTGATGTAAAGGTCTGAAATATTTAGGTAGGCTGTTGTTTGAAAGGTAAACTTTAAACTTAAAGGACCAGAAATTTCTTTGTATTGTTGATAAATATTCTGGTAAATAGCCGCAGTTTGTAATTCTGTTCTAGTCTCTTACGTTTTAACAATTATCCTTTTGTCACCTGACTATCAGGGAAGCGTGATTGAGGCTGGCCCTGACCTTTTGTCTTGACGCCAACATCCAGGTGGGGGCTGTACCCGAAGCTGCTGTTGGAGTATATGGTAAGACAATTTCTGTGCCAAGTTTTCCCCCGCCACCCCCCCCCCCCCCAAGTTAGTTGTACTATATTTGACCTTACATATACATATGGGACAGGAGTAGGCCATTCAGCCCTTCGAGCCTGTTCTGCCATTCTATTAGATCATGGCTGATCTCTACCTCAACTCCCAACTACCTGCCTGTGGCCCATATCTCTTGATACTCTGACCTAATAAATATCTATCCATCTCTGTCTTGAAATGTGAATGGATCCAGCATCCACAGCCTTTTGGGGAAGAGAGTTCCAGATTTCCACTATTCTTTGAATGAAAAAACTGCCTCCTGATTTCACTCCTAAAGGGCCTACTCAAATTTTAAGATTGTGTGTCCTTGTTCTGGATTCCCCCACAAGAGGAAATAGTTTCTCTGTATCTACCCTATGGATTCCCTTTATTATTTTAAAAACCGGAATTATTATTATTCAGCCATCCAGGGAATTGGTGGCTGATTATGGTAAGAAGAAATCTCACGGCCATAGCAATAATGGGTCTTGCATTTCCTGAAAAGCTCTTCTTAAAGAATTTGAAAATCGATCTTTGATGCAGAACGACTTAATGGCATTGGCGCAGATGTGTAAATCGCATGTTGCAGTACTTTGTTTCCGCATGAGCAATGGAATGTGTGTTCGAGCTACCATGAGATAGGTATTTGTTGTATAATACAACCTTGGTTCAAAAACTATTTGAATGTAGCATTTCCATATGGTAAAACAAATAACATAAGACTGGCCTAATTCAGGGGCTGAATACTGTCAGAACCTGTGGTGGCAATGTTAGTAAATACTGAGACCTGAAATCATTCCTTTCTGTTGGATGTAGAACAGTACCTGACACTTTTATTGGTATTTAAGTGTGTAAGATGTATTTTGGGTCAAATTCCTGAGCAGATTTCTGCAGCTGGTACAGTTTCCTCGCTGTGGAGCAATAAATCTATTTTTGATTACTGTAGGATTACAGAGAAATGATCTAAAATAAATGCTTTCTTTGAATAATAATTATCCTTGCATTTCATATTGTGCCTTATCACGTCTTCGAGATGTCTCAGAGCGCTTCACAGAATATACTGTAAAGTGAATTGACTATATTTTGAATAAACTGTACCAATTTTAGTTTGCAACTAAATTTCTGTTTTTCAGCATATTACTCTACTCGCCAGGTTTTTCCTGAAAATGCTCATTCTTTCTTGAGTCCCTGCTCCACAGGCTCCCTCTGGTATTTTGCCCACATTGCCTTTCTTCACGTGTGAACCTAGACGGAGAATGTTGGCAGACTTGTGGAGCAAACTCATTACTGTCCTTGCCCAACATCCACACATCCACAGCTACCAGCAGGTGTCACAAAATACAAATCGACAGCAGGCACCCTGACTGATTTGAAATCTTTATTGGATGCCGTGTTTCGCCCACAAAAATTACAGTAAATTCACTTTAGAGTATATACTCTGTGAAGCACTTCGCAATCTCTAGAAGAAGTGAAGAGGTGCTATGTCAAATGAAAGGATTATTATTGATTTTTTGTTTGACAAAAAAAGAAATCCCTTTTAGCATTTTGCTGATTTTCACATTCTTCAGGAGCCGAGGACTTGGGTTCTGTGTCTATTTTAACTCCCCATCACTGTCAAAACTGAGTTAAACTATTGTTAAGCAAGTACTTCTAATCAGTGGAGAGATGTGCAAAACGTGTGAGTGTGTGTAACATTGAATTCTCTTTTCTCCTCTCTCCCCCCCCACCCTCCCCACCACAAAAAAAAATTGCAAATGTTTTCTCCAATAATAAACAAAAGCAAATCTGTTGTGTTGATAAATTAGAATGTTGTATGTCCAGTGGATGTCTTTCCACCACATGGGTTTCTGGTCTAGAACCACTCTCGGACAACACGGCCCGCTGAATCTTATTGCTGTCTCTTTCTGCCTACAGGCATAACTAGTGAGGCCACAATGTAAGGTGTAAGACAGCAAATACATCAACTTGTGTTTATATAGCGACCCTCAACACAGGGTAGTGTCTCAGACCGCCAAGGCTCAACGGTTTAGCGATTGCAACACAGGCAAGCTTCCTTACTCCGCACACATGTTTATCAAGCAGTAAGAAGGAACTTGGTTGTTAGTTGATTAGCGGATCGCTTTCCGGGGTGGGGGGGTGTAATAACACCTCCAAAAAAGATTTGGACGCTCAATCCACACTGTTTGAGGCTGCCACTTTAGCACTCTACATATCGGGGCAGCTGAGATTGGGAGTTCAAACAGCCTAGTCACTGAAACCTGAACTCCTCTATTATTAATAATGTGTACAAATTTCATATGTTCTCCACGGAACAGGACCTTCTTCATTGTTAACACATTGTGGGTTATTGTAGGCAAATTTTAGCCAGTATTGGAATTTCAGATGCAAATGTTTTTAAAGGGCAATAATGCAACCACCTGTGCTGAATATTGATTTGATTTCTGTTTTAACGTAGACTAGTTGTATCTGGCTTGTTTGAGCAGATAAGCAAACGACTGTTGCCGTACAATAGACCAGTTATGTGGAACTTGGCAGGTAAGTTTCACGTCATTTAATTCCCGTTTGAGTACACATCACCTGTTAATGATGACTTGGATCGTTGGGACCTTTACACCACAGCAATGCATGCCCATTTTCCAGCCTCGGTGAGCCGTTATTACAGGTCTCCTCGCCCAACATGACTGCAAAGCGCACCTGCCACTGGAACAATGTAGAGATTCTAAATCATAGAAAATGTGACGCGTTGTCTGATTCAGTGCGAGCTGCCTCTCAGAGGGCTGCAATGGTATCCCTTTTAGAAGACGAGATAGGGTCCGTAAAAAAAAAAAAAAGAAAAAGAAAAATTCCCAACCTGCCTTATTTATAATGGGGCACGATCACTGTTTTGTGCTTCAGCATTCACTTGCGCATTCATGCAGAAAGCCTGTAGGCTTCCCATTCCCAAAACGTCAGGTCATCGACGACTTCGCTTCCGCAGGACTTGATTTAGAAGTTGTTCATTTTGGCTTCCGGTGTCGGCTGGCCTTTTGAAGCACTGACGGAGCCGGCAAGTGCAAGTAAATGCTGGGGTCCACACCCAAACTCGCGAAGCTGGGTTATAACAAGGTGCATTATAACGGGATTCTATTGCATAGGGAGAACTTACCCATATAAGGGGGGAGGGGTCTATTTTTAAGGAAATTTATTCACACAGCAGTCTTAGTCTGCTTATAAAAATGACCACTTACAGCTGACTTGACAAGTTAATACAAGCTCTTCATAGTTATTCTGACCATCAGTGTACGCTTTCTCTCTCTTTACAGTACAATCGAGCGTGGCTGGGCTCTTTTGAAATGTTCCTGAGTATTTACCCCCATGATAGATTCTGTGTAAGTATGTAAATGTGTGGCTGGAAATTTGCTTCTAAAATATGAATTCCTGCAAATCGTTAGATTTGATTCATCTAATTCAAGTCTCATTTTATCAGTGTTTGGGGCCCTTCCTTGAATTTAAAACATTGCATCCGTCTCTTAAGTCTATCATTCGTTTTATATGTTTGGAAAAGTTCCACCAATCACATATTTTTGTTATTAGACAATAGCACAGCACCTGTTGGGAGTAGCTTTGACGTACATTTTTTTTTCTTAGGAGATAAATGAGCAGTCAATTTTTATAAAATGTACATTTTACTGCCCGCAGGAAAGTTTTCCTTAAGTGCTTGAATTTGTCAAAGAATAATTTTAGTGCATTTTGTGTCCGTAAGGACATCTTCGATATTTCTCAGGCATTTTTGGTACGCACCTCAAAATGTCCCATCAAATTTTAGTTGGTACTCATGTACTTTTCATGTTTTGAAACGCAGAGTGGCCAAGCTCCATCTCATCCTTAAATGTGCGGTTGCAATTCCAACTGGATGAGTTTTATTCCTTGAGTATAACGTAACACTCGACAAGTTCCTGCTCGAAATTGGAACAGGATTGGAATGATTGTCATCCTTATTGGTGAATAAATGCATCGTTTGGGCTGCGTGCAGGAACAAATTTATTTATTTATGTTTCTTTCACAGTGAATGTTTTTTTTCCAATTCACAGGTTGTGCAAATTTCGTTCCAAATAAAATAAAATTCTACCAGTTGGCTTGGGAGCAGAATCTGTCTGTCTCTTTATTTGCAACAGTCGCATATTCAACACCCCTGGCGCTTTTCACGGTGCGTCGCTGTGTCGATTCTCTGTTTGCCGGCAGACACGGTCACTACACTTTACAATAAATCCCGCAGAAGCTCTCTTTCGGACATTTTGACAATATAACTGGTGTTTCCCGTTACTGAATGCCTCAGCGGTGAACTGACTTCACCACACGATGGCAGTGTCTGTGTTCATTAAGTTTTCAGAAAAACCATCAATGGGGCTTGAACTGTTCAGGTTCCTGGTACAGTATTAGTTTCATAATCAAAATTGACATTCATGTGAATAAACTCAAGATCATTTGTGCGTGAGGACAGGTTGAGCCCCCGGGTTTCGTTAGTGACCTTAGCCAGCATTTCAAGACTGAGGTGGACAGATTTTTCTTAGGTAAGGGTTAGGGGGAAAGAACCAATAACTGGAGTTGAAGTGCAGATCAGCCGTCATCTTACTGAATTGTCGGACATGCTCAAGGGGCTGAATGGTCTACTTCTGTTCCTATGTTTCTGAGACAAATATTGTCTTATTTCTAAAATTGGTGTGAGCGTCTATCCGACAGCTTATTCAATCAGGGCCTGAATAGAGAGAATCATTGCAGAAAGATCTACAGCCCTTTGTGCTTTGTGTTCCAGGCATCTTTTCAGGTAAAATACTTCACTGTTGAACGTAATGTTCTGAGTGAATAGTGCAAATCAGACCATCTTCTGATGTCTGCAGAGCACCGCCTCTGGTGGAATACTGGACATATATAATTTACATGCACTGAGGCTGTTGACTGCCAGGATCACAGCTGTCATTATTGTGACCGCCAATTGGTTGGTCATTTCATGGCTCTTTGCGGAACTGTACAGTGTGGAAATTGGCTTCTGTGTTTGCCTACAAAATACTGTGTTTTATGGGGAAAAGCTCAAATGCTTTGAGACCCACAGGGCATAAGTCACTGCATCAAACACTAGGATTATTAATGAGAACAGAAAATGGAGGCACAGATACCAGAAGCAACGTCATGCACAAATAGACCATAATGTTGGGGAAAAAATGATTGATGATTCTTGTGCAGTCCTAGTTTTATGGTGCTTTTTGTTTCCATTCAGCACATCGCTCCTCCCGAGGAACACGGATGTGGTTTAGTTGTCTTGACAGATTTTGGTCAGCGCTCGTGCTCATTTGTAAAAATAAAAACCTGCTTTTTTTTTAAAAAACAAAAACAATTAATTTCTGACTTCTTGTAACCTGAAATGAGAATTCTCAATTCCCGGTAATTGCGAAGTTGCAAAGGGAGGGTGAATATTTTCTTGTGGAGTAACGCAAGCTGTTTATGCTGAAGTTTTGTAACCTCGAAAAGGGAAACCTCAGTCTTTGCTGGTCCCGACTTATCCAGGCGGGGATTCTGAGACCTGGTGGCTGTAATTTTCACATTGACCCACGTGATGGCAGTACTTGTATATAATCATCCTAACATTTGACATTATAATGCCGTTGAGGTATCACAAAGCACTTCACGGGACGTTACTGCGGAATTGTTTGGGAGTGAATCTTTTGTGAAATTTTTATTGGCAACTCCACAATCCTCGGCCACATCTGTAACGACAAAAAACATCTCACGACTCCGCACAGGGAATTCCTGTCGAGTGTAATGACTGCGCGTATTTGTAGGCAAACGTGCTATCCAATTTGCGCTCAGTTAGGTCACAGACTGAGTGAATTGTGTATGTTGTCCCAGACATTATACCAGATGCTCAGCATTTTATACAGCAAAGAAAATATGCTCTTCTGGTTTCATATCAACCTCAGTTAAGGATATGAAACCTCATTTACGGTGATAACAAAACCCAAGTGTCGGCTATGCGACCTGGGATCGTGCAGTATTTTTTTTAATGCCGTACTGCAATAAAGTAGTAATTGCTGAATTAAAAGATATTAAACGAGTCACATGTTTCATTACGGGTGTGCTTTCAAATCAGACGTGAGCCTGACTAAATCATCAGCAAGTGGGAATCCCAAGCGAGCTGAAATATTTATTTTCCGAAGATCCTTTTACAGTTTCTCATCCATTTCCCCTGTGCCGTTATTTTGTGCTGCGCGCCTTTCGTTTTTTTTTAACTGAATTAAAAACGTCGCTGCTCTTCGAATATTTTATTTACTTGAGATGGGAATCGAGTCACGTCAGCGTTGTCTGGCCGCAGGTGAGAAGCTGTACGTTTCATGCAATGATTGACTCTGCAATTATTTGATCAGGTCACTGGTTGTGACCTGTGTATCTGCTTATTAATTGATACCAATCTCACACACACTGCTCCACAGCTTCCGAGGGGCAGAGCATTCCACGTCTTATAATAATAATAATAATCCTTGCATTTGATATAGCGCCTTATCACGTCTTCGAGACGTCTCAAAACAGAATATATTGTAAATTGTAGTGTAAAGTGTGTAGAAGAAGATTTACACAGGATGATGAATTTTCTCGTTGGGCAGCGCTTTGGGGAATAAAGGAACGGACAAAATAACTAACTGACTAACCGCTAAGACTGTCACGAAGGTGCAGCCGGAATAAAATCATCCTAAACCAGTTAAGGCAAAGTTAAGGAATCGGGAACCCAAGACCTGGAGTTGTTTTTAATTAAAACTTTGTGAAAGTCTCGTGAAAATAAATGTCCAGTGAAAATTTCTTGTGAAACAAAACACAAAATGCTGCAGTTGATGGAATCTGAAACAAAAACAGAGAAGAGCTGGGAAAACTCAGCAGGTCAGGCAGCGTCTATGGAGAAAGGAAAGTGAGTCAACCTTTTGGGTCCGCGACCCTTCGTGGGTCACAGATTGAGGCTTATTTGCTTCTCGAAGCTCATTTCAGAAATAGATTGAACAGTTGACGCTGACTTACGTCTGACACTGTTCCTGCCTTCACACTAACTCTTACAAGGCGTCTCTGCTACAAATGTGAACCCACAGTAAAGTCGCAGAAAGTCAATAAAAACATTGCTTTAAATTACTAAAAAAAATACAAACGGGAATAATTCCTAAGATGATAAGCTATAATAATATTCCTTGCATTTGATACGTTGTTGAGACCTCTCAAAGCGCTTCACAGAAGATACTGTATAAAGTGAATTGAGTGTATATTTTGTGGGCAAAATGCAGCAGCCAATTGCACACAGCAGTGTCCCATAAACAGTCATGGATTGAGTGACCAAACTTAATTATTAATTCTTTCCTTTGGAGGGATTATTACCCCAGATAGCGGGCAATCGACTATTGCGGCTAGCTAAACGGAGGCGTGTGGCGTAAGGAAACCTGCCTAAGGTTTAACGGGGATGGATAATAATAATAATAATAATAATCCTTGCATTTGATATAGCGCTTTTCACGTCGGGAGGACGTCCCAAAGCGCTTCACAGAACACACTAAAGTGAATTGACTGTATATTTGTGGGCGAACGCGGCAGCCGATTGCGCACAGCAATGTTCCTCAAACAGTCGTAGATTGAAAATGACCAATTTATTATTGTATTTGGTTTTTTTTAGAGGGATTATTATTAGGCTCTGTGTGGAGTAAGGAAACTTGCCCGAGGTTTCGCCCTCTGCCTGGAATTGAACTCAGGTCTCTCACTTGCAAAGCGAGTGCTCTAACCACTGAGCTACAGGACTCCACAATGCGATAAGGCGCTAGATCAAATGCACAAATTATTATTATCCAACCCCGTGAAACACTCTGAGATGTTACCCTATGTGACGTATTGTTTTTTACTGAGGAGCCAGGGGTTCGGTTTGTCTGTGGCACTGACCAGAGCCTTGAGAATATTAAGTGAGGCGTAGTCTGCCACTCCCAGTTGGGTAGAGAGTTTGTGATTACAGATGCGAATAACTGTGGAGCAATAGTAAAACCAGACAAACAGCCGGGAGAAGCCAAGTGCCCATCTTTAGAGGCAGAGCTACACCTGAGGAAAGGTGAACAAGAGGGAGGTAAGGGGCAAGAGAGAAAGTGTAAGGTATGAAGTGCAACCAGTGAAAGAGAATTAACAGGAGAATCAAGGTCGCTCAGGTAGGGAAATAGGTGGAATAAAACCATTGTTGAGTTGTATATTTTACTAACTTGTACTGTCTGCTGTAATGATTAGGTTATGTTTCACCCACAAAATACACAGTCAATTCACTTTACAGTATAATCTGTGCAGCGCTTTGAGATTTCTCGAAGAAGTGTTAAAGCGCTATGTCAAACGTAAGGATTATTATAGAAATAACTTTAAATTCACATCCAAACCAACTGCTCGCGACTCAAATTAAACGCATAAAGTACCTCATTGGTTACTTAAATTTCACGTGGCTTATTCACGGCTCGGATTACAGTGATTTCTATTATGATAACAAACATACAGTCAGAGATAAGCAAGACTCATTTATTTAAAGTTTTATATTTCAGTGAACTGTTTGTCTGATGAGCTAACTGACAAGCAATTTATAATAATAATAATCATAATCAGAATAATCGTTTCATTTGATTTAACCCCCGGAAAAGTGATTCACCAATCGACTAACGACTGGGTTCCTACTTATGGCTGAGTAAACCGAGGCATGTGCGCGGAGCAAGGAAACCTAGCCAAGGTTTCGCCCTGCCCGGAAATCAAAACCGGGTCAATAAATAAAACTTGATCATCTTATATCAGGATTTGGCACTGAGCTTTTTCGATAGGAACAAATAAACGATCTCCTTTGCCTTATCACATCGTTGAGACATCTCGAAATGCTTCACAGGGTTTCCCTGTAAAATGTAGCAACAGCGAATTTTGTGGACGAGTGTTGCAGCCAATTTGAGCAACGGGCCGACTTGCACACAAGCTGGAACAGTCCGGCAAATACACTACTTCTGTTACTTCTCCGTGCAAGATTATGGAAAACCCTTGTTCCTCATTTCACAAGCTGGTTACCACAAGTCTGCTCTTCAGCTAGTTTTCTTGATACTTCTTCTCTCATTGGTCCAGTCAATAGTGTTATAAGTCCCCGCCTTTGCTCTGCTATCATTAATCAACCGATCGATCTTCTTAACGCACCAGACATATTAACTCACAAAGCCCGATTCCCGTACTTGTTGGGCTTGCAAAGGCTGTTATTTGATACCTTCTGCAACGCAATTGTGACGCATTGATGATGGACCAACAGAACTTCTCAACGGCAGCTTCTGAATATAACACAATGTCCAGCGCTTGGGACCTGTTGGGACTGAAGGTATCACTGTCCGTGGTCATGGCCGTCATCACCTTGGCCACCATCCTCTCCAATTTGTTTGTAATCGTTGCCGTCTGCCTCACGAGGAAGCTCCACACACCGCCAACTATCTCATTGCTTCCCTGGCTGTCACAGACCTGCTGGTGGCTCTGCTGGTGATGCCCATCAGCATTGCCTTCACTATGCAGAGGACCTGGGTATTGGGTCAGGTCATGTGTAATATCTGGGTGTTGTTGGACGTGACACTTTGTACCGTGTCGATCTTGCACTTGTGCATCATTGCCCTGGACAGATACTGGGCTATAACTCATGCCTTGAAGTACACAAAGCACCGTACACCCTTCCGAGCAGGACTCATGATAGCCGCTGCATGGGGTATCGCGGTCTGTATCTCCACCTCACCCCTGTTTTGGATATCGTCGCGAACACAAGAGAAGCAAGATGAATGTGTGTTCAATGAAAATGTTTTCTACTGCATCTTCGCGACGTGTGTGTCCTTCTACATCCCCAGCCTAGTGTTGGTCTTCCTGTACGCCAAGATCTATTTGGCTGCTCGGTCGAGGATCCTCAGGGCACCTTCGACTAAAGATAGCAACATTCAACATCCCGAGCCAACATCATCATCCCAGTGTTCGGTCAACTACAACAGCCAAGACATGCTCAATTATTACGTTGAGCAACCAGACAGACTTATCCACATCAAAATGTCAAGCAACTTTCTGCAGAAGAAAAATATCTCTGCAGCCAAGGAGAGAAAGGCCACCAAAACCTTGGGACTAATCCTAGGGGCTTTCATTTTCTGCTGGCTGCCTTTCTTCACGACAACCCTGGTGATTACCATCTGCCAGGAGGCGTGTTGGTCTAACCCTGTCCTCATAGATTTCTTCACCTGGCTAGGCTTTGTGAATTCACTCATCAACCCAGTCATCTACACGATTTTCAACAAGAACTTCAAGCGAGCCTTCCGCAAGCTGGTGCTTTCCAGACTCTGCTGACACTGAACTGATCTGACGGTCCTGACCGACTGTGTATGTGCTTTTACCGATAATTCAAGCAGCTACTGGAGTCCAGTAGCTCAGTGGTTAGAGTGCTCGCCTTGCAAGGGAGAGGACCTGTCTCGATTCCCAGCCAGGAAGAAACATTAGGCAAGTTTCCTCACTCCACATGTGTCTGTTTACCTAGCAGTAATAATATAATATAATAATAATCCTTGCATTTGATATAGCGCTTTTCACGTCTTCGAGACGTCTCAAAGCGCTTCACAGAATATATTGTAAAGTGAATTGACTGTATATTTGTGGGCGAACGCGGAAGCCAATTGCGCACAGCAATGTCCCACAGACAGTCCTGGATTGAAAATGACCAATGTATTATTTTTTTTGTTTTGGAGGGATTATTATTAGGAGTGTGGAGTAAGGAAACTTGCCCAAGGTTTCGCCCTCTGCCGGGAATTGAACCCAGGTGTCTCCCTTGAAAGGCGAGTGCTCTAACCACTGAGCTACAGGACTCCACGTAAGACTTATAAAGCGCCCTCCACGATTATTATTATGATTAAGGTTGACACTGTATGATATATTCATTAATTCTCATTCCGAAACTATTATTCGAATTTTTTATCCTCTTTCTGAGATATAATACTCATCTGTGTTATACCTTGGCCACTGAATGTTTTAATGCTTTGATCAGTTTCTCTTTTTATATGTATATCTTGTGGCTGGTGCCATCGCAGAATATTTGGTGAGTCTGTCTGTCAATGCCAAGTGCACCAAACACCAAACTTGTTTCAATAAAATCTCTCTACGTGCATGAAAATTAAAACAAGTGAATTGTAGTGAATTTCAACCGAACTTACTGTCACCTCCTTGAGGGACGCTATATAAGTACAAGTTGTTGTGGTTGAATTGCCGCGACGCTGAAGTCGAACAAACATTCAATCTTTCGAAAGTTTGATCCATTGGATATTTTCTTTTCCTTTTAAAAATCCTTAAACGTCTCCAGCAAATACATTGCTTAGGACGCGATGCAATATGAAACTTATCTGGTATTAAAAAAAAGCAATTTTGAGATTGATGGCACTAAAGTCGTAGAAGATACAGACTCACCAAACATTCAAAAGTCATAGAGATTTCAGCAACTGTGCAACGAAACTGTGAATACTGGTGCGTGTGTGTGTGGTGTTAAGCGCTCTGAGACACTGTCTAAAGATCATCGTGCAAATTAAAAGGTTTAATTAAAAGGCTTGTGGCTGTGTAATATATTCATTAACTCTCAAATTTTTATTCCGTTTTTTTATACGAAGGGTATATATAAAAAAAAGGTGAGAGGATGACTGAAAGCAACAGTCAAAGAGGAAGCTCTTTCAGATTCCTGAATGACTGCAATTTACTTTCTGTTCCTCTAAAGATGCAGAAATCCACAGAGCCAATCATTGTCTTAAAACAAGGCACAAAAACAGTGTTCATCCCCCGGTGTCCTCGAATAAAAAGATCTGAAATTCATTTCAGGGTTACCTTGTGTCGTTCCTTTACACGAAAGGACACATCACTGTATCCCATTCTTTTAAGGGATGGTGATGATAATAATAATAAAAAAATTAAACCTTGCAATATACCTCCTCTCGCATCATCTCAAAACCCATAATATAGGATGTAAAGTGGCATTCTTTTTGTAGGCGAGTTTGGTAACCAGTTCCCGCACAGTAACATCCCTCCCACAAACAGAGGACACAGTGGGGAAAAAGTACCTCCAAAGTCAATGTCATTGGATTCATTATAATAATAATAATAATAATAATTAAATGCTGGAGGGTCAGCCTGGGCAAATATTTTCAAATCTACTCATATAAAGCAGTAAAATCAACTCTCCTTCAATCATTTTTTTTGTGTATAAACCAAAAAGCCACACAGCAGAGCATCACGAAAATATAGACCGCTCAATCCTCCAAACCTTTGTCATGACTTGCTCAATTCCGCCTTGTGGTACATTTTTCATCAGCTACTGATGTCTCAACGCTTTTCCTGTGCGCTCTGCTATTCCTAAAGCACACGATTGCAACGGACAAATCATCTCAATGGTTAAGTGCTCAGAATTTAGGAACAGAGGAACAGGAGGAGGCCATTCATCCCCTCCAGCCTGTTCCACTATTCTATTAGAACATGGCTGATCTGCACCTCAACTCCAATTACCCAGCTTTGCCCTATAATCCCTTGATTCCCTGACCCACTTCGGTCTTGTTAGTGGGCAAATTGCCATCAGGAGCACATGATCGTCACCTTCTGCAGGGCATCTGAGGCTGCAGCCAGGATTCGCCTTCAATGCCGATCACCTCACCACATTTACTACCAAATTGTCGTAAGGGTTCGCCAGAAAGAGACTTTACGCAATGCAGGTGGTGTGAATTGCACATCTTTTAATATCATGACACAATTCAAAGGTTAAAGCGCTAGCGCATACAATTATTAAGTCGTCAGGTAACATTAAAGCAGTAAGATTCAACGAAACCGATATTAACTCGGTTCCACAACCGGCTGTTCACAACTGTTCCTCCTACGATGATTCCGACTATTCCAAAGTTACATCTTTCTTTTACGTGTTTCTAACTCCATCTCCCCCTCGATTCAGAGACAGCCCCCCCCACCCTTCGCAAGCCCCTAGCTGTCTCTCTTGAGCAGGCTCTTTTCGCATGGGAAAATAACTGATAAGGAGAAAGAAAGATGGATAGCTTTTCAGGAGATTCTGCCATCTCCCTGTTTCCTAGTCGTGAGATAAGCAGATGTCCAGGAAAGCACTTCTCCCTCTGAGCATCCTTGTTTTCACATCCGCGCTCAAGGACGTGATTGCTCAAGTCGCAGATGGGAGGATGACACGGGACCCAGGCACCCAGCGAGGGAAAGTTATCAGAATCTGACCTCAGCCGGGATCAAGCCAATATACCTTTTCCTTTGCTAGCGCTAATTGGCACATGTGCCCTCTCAGGGGCCTTAAGTTAATCATTAAAACACAAAACCTTGTCCCTGCCCTATTAACCGAGCAATGCTAAACTAAAAAGATTATAAGTATTTAGTTACATTGTAAAAAAATATAAAGACTGATTAAAAACCTTAAAAACGATAAGCATCACAAGCATAATCCCTTGTAGATATCTTAAGACTGTGACCACGGGTCAGAGACACACCTACCAGCGGAAACAGCTTTTCCCTATCTCGCCTGTCGAAACCTTTCATGATCTTGAAGACCTCTATCAGGTCCCCGCGTAACCTTCTCTGCTCTAATGGGAGAAGTCCTAACTTCTCCACTGTCCTCATAGCTAAGCTTCCCCATTCCTGGTATCATTCTCGTGAATCTCCTCTGCACCCTTTCCAGTGCCTTAATGCCCTTCCGGAAGTAAGGTGCCCAGAACTGGACGCAGTACTCCAGCTGAGGCCTAACCAGTGTTTTGTATAGATTAACCATAACCTCAATGCTCTTATACTCTATGCCCCTACTGATGAAGCTCAGTACACCAAATGCCTTTTTTACTGCCTTATGTACCTGCCCCGTGACCTTTAATGATTCACTTATTTGAACACCGAGATCTCTCTGTACATTCACCTTAAGATTGAGCTCCAAGTCTATATTGCCTCCTATCATTTTTCCTCCCTAAGTGTATCACCTCACACTTATCCACATTGAAATCCATCTGCCACATGTCAGCCCATTCCACCATTCTGTGTATGTCTGCCTGCAGTTGGTTACAGTTCTCCTCACTATTTACTACCCGACCTAACTTGGTATCATCTGCAAACTTGGAAATAGTGCTCCCTGTGCCCAAGTCCAGATCACTAATGTATATTAGAAAGAGCAGTGGTCCCAATACCGATCCCTGGGGGACACCGCTGCACACCTCCTTCCATTTAGAGAAACACCCATTAACCACCACCCTCTGCTTTCTGTCACTCAGCCAATTCTTAATCCAAACGGCTACTGACCCCTTAATACTATGGGCCTCTAATTTTTTTATTAATCTCTTATGCGGTACTGTGTCAAAAGCCTTTTTGAAATCCATGTAAATAACGTCCACCGCATTTCCCTCATCAACCCTCGCAGTCACCTCTTCAAAACATTCTATTAGATTTGTTAGGCAAGATTTGCCTTTAACAAATCCATGTTGGGGGCCTCTAATTACCTCGTGTTCCTCTAAGTAGAGATTTATTCTGTCCCGGATTACGGTCTCCAGTAGCTTTCCTATTACCGGGTTTGTCTTTCTGCCCCTTTTTGTAGAGTGGGGTAACATTAGCCACTCTCCAGTCTCTTGGCACCACTCCTGTGTCCAATGAAGATTGAAATATAATGGCCAAAGCCTCCGCTATTTGAACCCGTATCTCCCACAGCAACCTTGGGTCAAACCCATCTGGTCCTGGTGACTTATCAATTTTGAGCCCAGTCAATCTTTTCAGAACTTCCTCTCTGTCTATAGTAATCTGATCTATTTCCTCTGCCCTCTCATCCAATACTGCGGCATTTGGGGCATCCATTTCCGTTGTGAAGACAGATGCAAAGTATTCGTTCAGTGCATCAGCCATCCCTCTGCCTCCACAACAAGATGGCCGTCATTGTCCTTGATTGTCCCCACCCTACCTTTAACTAACCTTTTTTCCTTCATGTGCTTGTAAAATATTTTAGGGTTCCCCTTTATGTTACCCGCTAACCTCTTCTCATGCGATCTTTCAGCCTGTCTTATCGCTCTTTTCACTGACCCTGGAGGACGTCTCAAAATGACTCAGTGAAGCAGACAGCGTGAGAGAACATTTGCTCTGCAATCGCGGAGCGGGGGGAAATGAAACTCGAAGCTGACACTGAGACCATTCAAGCAAGTTGTCGGATTATTTTGGGGCATCCAGGAAATGAAAGGCTTTATCTCGTCGCTTCGTAAAGCAAGAGCATTAAGTGCCAAAAGTTCATGTCAGGGAAGCGGGTAACTGGACTTCCTCTTTGCTTATCTTTCCACTCACTTCAT